AACATCTGTCGCAGATGGCATTAGAATTTTCACGAGAGCAGACAATATAGAGGACAACACGCTTCCAAACTGATGTACCTCAGGTCTTCAATGGGCCACATTCAACATATTTAATGAAGAGGAGTTCCAGCTACTGCGCTATGGTGAAAACGAAAATATAAAAACGGAAACCACATATAATCGCAGTTAATCACATTATCGAAAGAAAGTTACATAAAAGATCTGAGAGTAATCATGTCGGAAGACATCACTTTTAATGAACACAGTAAATCAGATGTCACAACTGTAAGAAAAATGAGTGGCTGGATAACAGTAAACTTTCAAATTAATGTTCCCACAGGAGGTGAATAGTTTATTGTGCACCCCATACTCAGCCTGTGAAACAAAAACAACAACAAAATTCCCATTGATGGGTGGCACGTTTGTATACCCCATTCTCTATGTCTGAGGAAGGTTATCTATGACCTTACCTGTTTTTTTTCTCATTTTCTTTTTTCATATCGTTTGTCTCAATATTGGCATCTTTAATGTATACTTTTTTGGAGAATGAGCAAAATAAATTAAATTGAGAGACTTAGAGGACACTAGAGAACAGCGGAGGAACTCATCTTCCACACTAGAGGACACAGCTGGAAGCTGGAAATACGCAGGAATCGAAGACATGTAAAGAAATACTCGAACTCTATATGGGTGGTGGTTAAGGGGAATTTACTGAGAGAAGAAGACGTTGTGGAAGCCACCTCCATAAAGCACAAGTTCGACAAGATTCTGAGCGTCACGATAGTTAACAATGATACAACAGGTACAATAAAGCTTTTAAGTGGGGCATAAAGTGCAAGATCTCACGTCCCCGTAGTTACTGATAGGTAAGTACCAACCATCACCACCACAAACCACCACCGCCACCACTAACCACCACCAACCACCACCACCAGCCGCCGTAGCAGTAGCAGGGAGGCAAGGCTGGGCCCGGCCCAGGGAGGTCCACCTAATTACTCACTCAACACCCGCGGAAGGTCAACCAGCTCTAAATGCCAAATTTCCCCCAAGTGTGCTCGATAGTGGGGCACTGTCGCTTGTCACACCTCCCCACGTTTCTCTTCCCTCCCCTACCCTCCTGTCCCCCTGCCCTGCCCTCCTGTCCCCCTGCCCTGCCCTCCTGTCCCCCTGCCCTGCCCTCCTGTCCCCCTGCCCTGCCCTCCTGTCCCCCTGCCCTGCCCTCCTGTCCCCCTGCCCTGCCCTCCTGTCCCCCTGCCCTGCCCTCCTGTCCCCCTCCCCTGCCCTCCTGTCCTCACACCTTCACCACTGACGTCTATGCTAACCCAACCAACATTGGAATGTGTATGACTGGTCACTCCGAGAGCCCAGATATAAGACTAATGTGATAAACTCCTAAACAGAGCTCTTACTCATTGTTCCGACTGTCATAAGCAACGTGAGAGAAGCCTTCAAGTATCAATAAACAACGGGTACACGAACAGACAAGTCAACACCCATATCAGAAGATATTTAGAAAACTGGTATAACAGCACAACAACCGCAACAGCAAGCAACCCCGCCCATAAACTTTTATTCCAAATCCACAATGAGCTCACAGAATAATAAAGAATAATAAAAAATATATTTCAAATGGAGTAAAACCGACCGCCCAGAACCAAAGGTTGGAATTCATTATTTACTGCAAAAAAAACAAAACAAAACAAAACTGTCGATTTAATACTTTAGGAACCGCCCCAATAAACAACACAACCCTCTTCCAAAAAGCAAACATGGTATACCAATTAACATGCATGAACAGAGGGGGATATGAAGACGACACCGAGGGCAATAGATAAGATGGACAAAGGTAGCTTCTTCCAAGTTAAGATAAAGCAGGACAGGAACACACAGGTGGAAGCTGGAAACGCCAATGAGCCGAAGGAATGTAATTACCTAAGTGTAGTTACAGGATGAGAGCTACGCTCGTAGTGTCCCGTCTTCCCAGCACTCTTTGTCATAAAACGCTTTGAAACTACTGACGGTCTTGGCCTCCACCACCTTCTCACCTAACTTGAGAATGAGAAACAAGTACTCGTACCCTGTACGGGTGATCAACACGTGCAGTGCACTGAAAGAAGCACTGCAAAGCCTGTGCCTCCAGCCACAACTTGTAAGTCCAGATTCCACAATGAATTTGAACGTCAAAATAGATAAGTTGTAATGCAATAGGTACAACAGGGGTAGTCAGCCGGTCTTAAAGATGCAACCCGTAACAGCTGTCTAATTCCAAGGTACCTATTTACTGCTAGGTTACAGGGGGCATCAAAGTGAAAGAAACACTGCCCATTTGTCTCTGCCGGCGCCGGGAATCGAACCCGGGCCACAGGATTACGAGTCCCGCGCGCTGTCCACTCAGCTACCAGACCCGTGTGTGTGTGTGTGTGTGTGTGTGTGTGTGTGTGTGTGTGTGTGTGTGTGTGTGTGTGTGTGTGTGTGTGTGTGTGTGTGTGTGCGTGCGTGCGTGCGTGCGTGCGTGCGTGCCCGCGAGTGCGTGAGTGAGGTGCTCGCAGGGTCTGGCGTCGTCGCGTGAAGTACACACAGATTTGTGTTTGTAATAAAGCAACATTCTACAGTGGCTGAGACAACACTAGCCAGTCTATGAAGGCAATAATGCACGTGAACGCCAAGAGCGGCGCAAGGTGCAGGACCTGCCCCCCACCCCTCCCCCTGGCGTATGCGCGCGCATGTACCTACATCACCAGGAAGACCGCGCCCCCTGCCAACTGACCAGGGAGACGATGCTTTATACCTGCCGAGGAAGGTGACGATGTAGACCGTTGTGGCGTTAGGAGCGAGCGGTGAGGCCAGAGAGCACCATCACCACCAATAGCACCTTCACTGCTACACATTTTCCTCCATCGCCTGCCTTATCTCACTCGCCCCATCAGCGCCACCTTCAGGTGCTGCTTCCCACCCACTTCCCGCCGGACCTGCACCACTCCTGTACCCTCTTAATACGCCAGACTCTGGCCTTACCTGTACGCCAGACTCTGGCCTTACCTGTACGCCAGACTCCGGCCGTACCAGTACGCCAGACTCCGGCCTTACCTGTACGCCAGACTCTGGCCTTACCTGTACGCCAGACTCCGGCCTTACCAGTACGCCAGACTCCGGCCTTACCTGTACGCCAGACTCCGGCCTTACCTGTACGCCAGACTCTGGCCTTACCTGTACGCCAGACTCTGGCCTTACCTGTACGTCAGACTCTGGCCTTACCTGTACGCCAGACTCTGGCCTTACCTGTACGCCAGACTCTGGCCTTACCTGTACGCCAGACTCTGACCTTACCTGTACGCCAGACTCTGGCCTTACCTGTACGTCAGACTCTGGCCTTACCTGTACGTCAGACTCTGGCCTTACCTGTACGTCAGACTCTGGCCTTACCTGTACGTCAGACTCTGGCCTTACCTGTACGTCAGACTCTGGCCTTACCTGTACGTCAGACTCTGGCCTTACCTGTACGTCAGACTCTGGCCTTACCTGTACGTCAGACTCTGGCCTTACCTGTACGTCAGACTCTGGCCTTACCTGTACGCCAGACTCCGGCCTTACCTGTATGCCAGACTCCGGCCTTACCTGTATGCCAGACTCCGGCCTTACCTGTACGTCAGACTCCGGCCTTACCTGTACGCCAGACTCCGGCCTTACCTGTATGCCAGACTCCGGCCTTACCTGTATGCCAGACTCTGGCCTTACCTGTACGCCAGACTCCGGCCTTACCTGTATGCCAGACTCCGGCCTTACCTGTACGTCAGACTCTGGCCTTACCTGTACGCCAGACTCCGGCCTTACCTGTATGCCAGACTCTGGCCTTACCTGTACGTCAGACTCTGGCCTTACCTGTACGCCAGACTCCGGCCTTACCTGTATGCCAGACTCCGGCCTTACCTGTATGCCAGACTCCGGCCTTACCTGTACGTCAGACTCCGGCCTTACCTGTACGCCAGACTCCGGCCTTACCTGTATGCCAGACTCTGGCCTTACCTGTACGCCAGACTCTAACCTTGTCAGCTCGCGGAAAGGATACACACAAAACAATATTGGGGCTGGAGAGGTTTGCCTCCGTATCATCTTCAATGTGTTGTGTGTCAATGCATGCTTCAGGGAAATATTTATCTCTAGGGATAAACAAGAGATGCACACAGCTGTGGAATGACCTTCGAGTGTATTATGGTAATATGGGGTATGAAGGCTATCACTGATACCGATGATGAAGTCTGTGTTCATTATGTCCGCTGTAAGCCATGTCTACAACCAAAGTCTTATCTTCAATCAATCAGTCAATACACACACACACACACACACACACACACACACACACACACACACACACACACACACACACACACACACACACACACACACACACACACAGGTGGAAATTTAATATGTGGCAAATATTCAACTTGCGTCACACGCAAATGAAACACCTGTTCAACCAAATCATTCGCCCCGGCTCGTTACGTCACTCCAAATACCTGTGACATTTTTCATCCCTACTTCAAAAGTGCAGCACGTTACTAGATCTTGTACAAAAGTGCCGCACGTTACTAGATCTTGTACAAAAGTGCCGCACGTTACTAGATCTTGTACAAAAGTGCCGCACGTTACTAGATCTTGTACAAAAGTGCCGCACGTTACTAGATCTTGTACAAAAGTGCCGCACGTTACTAGATCTTGTACAAAAGTGCAACACGTAACTAGATCTTGTACAAAAGTGCAATACGTGACCAGATCTTGTACAAAAGTGCAACACGTGACTAGATCTTGTACAAAAGTGCAACACGTGACTAGATCTTGTACAAAAGTGCAGCACGTGACCAGATCTTGTACAAAAGTGCAACATGTGACCAGATCTTGTACAAAAGTGCAGCACGTGACCAGATCTTGTCCAATTTCCTTTTGTACTTTTTGTACTATTTCCTTTTGTACAGGAAATGATGACAATAAAGCGGTGTATGGGATAGGAGGAGCGGACGGAGAGGTGCCCAACCCGCAGGGCGGGAACCCCGGCGGTGCAAGGACCGCTCGGGCAGGTGGGGTTGGGTTCAGCAAGAGCAGACGTTTATCATACTCAAACTGACACGTGGGGTTACATTACCGGGCCTCCCCGCCTCTTGTGCACTCTCAGTGTCTTATATGTAACCTCTGATTACTTGTCTGCAGTGAGACAAGCAAGAGACAGTGAACCATCAAACTGTCCCACGATACCGCCCATGTTAAGGACATTAGGCGGGGAATAAAGAGACGGTCTTCGCTTTTCCTTAGTCCCCGAGAGCTAGGTACTGGTAGGTAAGCTCCTGCCTTCCCTAGCCATGGGTACTGATGGGTAAGCTCCTGCCTCCCCTAACCATGGGTACTGATGGGTAAGGTTCAGCCTCCCCTAGTCACAGGTACTGATAGGCAAGTTCCTGCCTCCCCTAGCCATGGGTACTGATAGGCAAGATCCTGCCTCCCCTAGTCACAGGTACTGATAGGCAAGCTCCTGCCTCCCCTAGCCATGGGTACTGATAGGCAAGATCCTGCCTCCCCTAGTCACAGGTACTGATAGGCAAGCTCCTGCCTCCCCTAGCCATGGGTACTGATGGGTAAGCTCCTGCCTCCCCTAGTCACAGGTACTGATAGGCAAGCTCCTGCCTCCCCTAGCCATGGGTACTGATAGGCAAGATCCTGCCTCCCCTAGTCACAGGTACTGATAGGCAAGCACCTGCCTCCCCTAGCCATGGGTACTGATGGGTAAGCTCCTGCCTCCCCTAGTCACAGGTACTGATAGGCAAGCTCCTGCCTCCCCTAGCCATGGGTACTGATGGGTAAGCTCCTGCCTCCCCTAGTCACAGGTACTGATAGGCAAGCTCCTGCCTCCCCTAGCCATGGGTACTGATGGGTAAGCTCCTGCCTCCCCTAGTCACAGGTACTGATAGGCATGCTCCTGCCTCCCCTAGTCACGAGTACTCATTTCTCGAAAATGAGGAGACCTCATTTTCAGAATAACATAGTTGCTCTGGAGAAGGTGCAATACCGGGCAACAAAAGTCATTTCCGAGCCAAGTCATCTCTTGTATCAGGAATGCTTGAAAGACACAGGGCTAACAACACTGCAAACCAGGCCTGACAGGGCGTATCTCATTGAAACTTTTAAAATCCTTTTATTTTTAATTATTTATATATACAAGAGTTCTTACATTCTTGTACAGCCACTAGCACGCATAGCATTTCGGGCAAGCCCTTAATTCTATGTTTCCCGGAATATGACCCCGCTAAATCGTTTAACAACCAGGTACCCATTTTATTGTTGGGGTTAAACAGAGGTTACAGTTAAGGATTTGCACCCAGTATATCCTTCACAGCCAGGATATGAACCCAGGACAAAGCGTTCCCAAAACGCCAGGCGAGCGTCTTACCACTATGCCAAGGGGGACTGCTATATATATCAATATAAATATGTTTCTGGTTTGTCCAACTCAATAGTGCCGACTTTCCACGTTCTAATTATGTTGTTCATCGGTACTATATTAGGCCTCAGATACTGTATATTAGGCCTAGGAAGGTTAGGTTAGTTTAGTTTGTCAAAGCAACAGAAGTACAGTAATAAATAGTTTTCTGGTTTGTCCAACTCAATAGTGCCGATTTCCACGTTCTAATTATGTTGTTCATCGGTATACAGTATATACTATGGTCCTCGTCGTTATTATAAGTAGTACTACCAACTGGAGGATGGGCTGATATAAAACACTGGCTTTTTTAGTATAAACCTGCTATGTGTACACCTGTGATGCTTCTGTTATTCATAAACAGGTAAAATTACTACCAAACACCTGCTCATCCACACACCTGTGTCTATAGTGAACATGTGTTCACAGCAACTTAACTTAACTACAGACCAGTATCACTGACAAGCATCCCCTGTAAAATGTTTGAAAGAATAATAAGGTTAAGACTAGTTTTACACTTAAGAGAAAATTAGGTAAGTAAACAAACATCAACATGGGTTCAGACAAGGGAAATCATGCCTAACAAACCTTCTGAAATTCTATGATACAGTAACAAGAATAAGGCAGGACAGGGAAGGATGGGCAGACTGCATATTTCTGGACTTCCAAAACACCTTTGATACAGTACCACATAGAAGACTGCTTTTTAAACTTGAGAGGCAGGCAGGAGTAAGCGGAAAAGCCCTAGCATGGGTAAGGAATTACTTAACAGGCAGGAGCCAGAAAGTAAGTCAGGGGTGAGAAGTCAGACTGGTAAACTGAGTGGAGTACCTCAAGGATCAGTGCTGGGACTAGTTCTGTTTCTAATATACATGAATGACATGTCTACAGGAGTCGAGTCCTATATGTCAATATTTGCGGATGACCCGAAATTAATGAGACAAGTTGTGACAGATGAGAACTGTAGGACCTTCTAGGAGGACTTGAACAAGCTGTAGAAATCGTCAGAGAAATGGCTACTGGAGTTCAACACGAGCAAGTGTAAAGTTATGGAAATGGGACTAGGTGACAGGAGACCAAAGGGTCAGTACACTATTAAAGGAAACTACCAACCTGTGATAATTCGAGAAAGGGACCTGGGAGTGGATGTAACACCAAATCTAAATCTTGAGGCACATACATTATAAATCGGATAATGACAGCAACACACACTATACTAGCAAAAGTTTGAACATAATTTAGGAACCTAAGTAAAGAGGCATTTAGAGTGCTTTACACCGCCTACGTGAGACCAGTCTTAGAGTATGCAGCCCCATCTGAACACATTGAGAAACTGGAAAAGGTTCAGAAATTTGCGACGAGGCTCGTCAAAATTGCAAGGGATGGGATATGAAGAGTGGCTGAAGGAACTGAACTTAACAATGCTAGAAAAAAGGAGGGAGCATATGATAGCAACATAAAAATGCTTAGGGGGATTGACCGAGTGGAAATAGACGAAATGTTCAAACAGAATACCAACAGACCAAGAGGACATGGGTGGAAGCTGAAAACTGAGATGAGTCAAAGATGTTAGAAAGTTTTCTTTTAGCGTGACAGTAATGGAAAAATGGAATGCAATACGTTGTGGAAGCAAACACTATTCATAGTTTTAAAACTAGATATGATAGGAAAGAAGAACAGGAATCATTGCTTTAAACAAACGGTGGCTAGAAAGGTGGGAACCAAGAGCTAATGCTCGATTCTGCAGGCACAAATAAGCACGTACACAAACACCAGGGATATACAGTACTGGTCCTGAGTACCATCTCAAGGGCACGATATAAACAGTTTGCATTAACATTAACATAACATTTAAGATAAGATTAAGATACATGTACCTGCCTATTACTGCAGTTTACCTCCCTACTCCCAGTGTTCCTGCCTACTCTGGCAGTTCACCTGGCTACTTCCACCATTTGGCCAGTTACTTCTCCTCTGTTTACGTGAAAACAATGAATGTGAATTCATTCAGATTATCGGAATTTAGATTACGAGCTCTTACAGTTTGCTTTACTGGTACGCAGAAAAGGGTTCAATTCAACTTCCTCTATCATTAGTTAAAAATATGTTGGCTTGTAAATACTTCAGAGTGCTCCTTAACTTTAATGGGTAGCCTTGCCTTTGCTGGGCATCTACCTAATAAAACAAATTTGCACGTATGTACGCATGTGCCTGCGTACTTACCATTTGTGAGTGTATTTGTGTTTCTAATCTAATCGCACAGATGTGTGGCCTTAAGTAGTTATGCAAATGTGCAGCCTTAAAAACTAATTGTATGTATGCTTACCAACTTGTATCACTGTCAGCAAGCTTCAACTCTTGGGCTCTGCCTCACAGCACTTGCTGACCTAGTGCAACTACTGTATAGCATTCACTTTTGTTTTCCTTCAATATCTAGTTATATCTTCTCTTGAACCTACTGATGGAATTTGTCTCCGTTATCTTCTCCCCAAGATCGCTCCACTTACCACTATCACCCTACATGAGTACTTCTATGACACACACATGCTATATTAAACAAGCTATACCTACTTGTCCACTTCACCAATTGCTCTCAATACTTTGCTAAACATATTAGGTATATTAGTGGTTTAGCAACATTTCTAATTAGCCTTAACATTCTGTACACAAAATAATTTTTGCAAACAGATTATTTATAATCATATTTCTTTTAGGTTGTTGTTCTTCTCATTCTCTTTCAGGTTGTTATTGTTCTCCTTGTTCCCCTTTCTGGTTGTTTCCTTTTCTGGTTGTTCCCCCTATTTGGTTGTTTCGCCTTTCTGGTTGTTCCCCCTATTTGGTTGTTTCGCCTTTCTGGTTGTTCCCCTTTATGGTTGTTTCCCCTTTCTGGTTGTTTCCCTTTATGGTTGTTTCCCCTTTCTGGTTGTTCCCCTTTATGGTTGTTTCCCCTTTCTGGTTCCCCTTTATGGTTGTTTCCCCTTTCTGGTTGTTTCAATTTCTGATTGCTGTTCTGGTTGTTCCCCGTTCTGGTTATTATTTACAGTACTTATAAACTTATACTGTACTTATAAATAATATACTTTACTTATAAATAAATAAATAAATATGCAAGCGATGAGTCACAATAACGTAGCTGAAGTATGTTGACCAGACCACACACTAGAAAGTGAAGGGACGACGACGTTTCGGTCCGTCCTGGACCATTCTCAAGTCGATTCTCAAGTCGATTAAATAAATATTTCAGATAACAATGTCGGAGTGTGTGTGTGTGCATGCATGTGTCTGTGTGTGTGTGTAATTACCTAAGTTAAATTACTTAAGTGAAGTTGCAGGCGGGGAGATATGCACATGGTGACCCGTCTTCCCAGTACTCTTTATCATATAATGCTTTGAAACTACTGACGGTTTTCCCCTCCAAAACTTTCTCACTTAACTTGTTCCAACTGTCTACCACTACGATTGTAAAAGAAAATATTTGTTTTGTTACCTTTCTTTCCTTAGCTAAAATCTATGATCTCTTGTTCTTGAAGTTGCCGGTTTTAGAAAATCATCTTTGTCAATATATCCAATTTCCGTTATTGTTTTGTAAGTGGTGATCATATTGCCTCTTTTACTTCTATCTTCTAGCTTTGGCATATTTAACACATCTAGCCTCTCTTCATAACTCTTGTTTTTCAGGTTTGGAAGCCATTTTGTAGCACAACTTTGCACCTTTTCCAGTTTATTGAAGTGCTTCTTGAGATATGAGCACCACACAACTGCTGCAGATTCCAATTTTGGTCTCACAAAAATCATGAACAGTTTCTTTAGTATGTCACCATCCTTGAAATTAAATGCAATTCTGAAGTTGGAAAGCTCAGGATATGCTCCTCACATAATGTTCTTTATGTGTTCCTCTGGTGACAGTTTACTAACCAGAACCACCCCTAGATCTCTCTCTCTCTCTTAGTTCTGTAATTCCTTTCCACATAATTTATAAGTTGTGTGTGGTCTATTTTCACTTATTCCACATTCCATAACATGGCATTTATTCACACTGAATTTCATTTGTCACGTGGTGCCCCAAGCACTTATGTTATCTAGGTCAATTTGAAAAGCATGATAATCGTTTACGTGGCCTATCTTCCCTAGTAGTTTAGCACCATCAGCAAATATGTTCATATAATTCTGTATTCTTTCTGTTAGATTATTTATGTAGACAATGAACATTACTTGTGCAAGAACTGAATCCTGTGGTACTCCACTAATAACATTCCTCCATTCGGACACATTTAGACACATTGCCTTTGATTACTCCTCTCGTCTTTCTGTCAGAAAATATTTCATCCACGTCAGCAGTCTCCCTGTCACTCCCTCCAGCATGTTTCAGTTTCCAAAACAATCTCTTGTGTGGGACTCTGTCAAATGCCTTTTTTTTTTAGGTCTAAATATACAGTCAACCCAACTATCTCTCTTTTGTAGAATCTCTGTTGTTCTATAAAAAATACTAAGTACAGTACTGTAGATTTGTTACACAGAATCTTCCTATTTGAAGACCAGACCACACACTAGAAAGTGAAGGGACGACGACGTTTCGGTCCGTCCTGGACCATTTTCAAGTCGATTCAAGTCGCTTCCTATTTGAAAACCATTCTGGCTGTCTGTCATTGTGTCTTTACTCTCCATGTGTTCTACCCATTTGGTTTCAACTATTTTTTGTGGTGTTTTGATCACAACAGATACTGTTATGGATTACCAATACTAATGATACCGGTCTAACTTTAGAGGGTCTTCTCGGCTATCATCTTTAAAGATTTGAACTATGTTTGCCTTTTTTTAAATACAGTATGTGCTAAGATTCCTGTGGACAAGATTCCTTCCTAAGATTCCTGTGTGTGAGTGCATGTAATTACCTAAGTGTAGTTACAGGATGAGAGCTACGCTTGTGGTGTGCCATCTTCTCAGCACTCTTGTGTATACATGTGTGTGTATATATCTGTCTGCGTACATGTAATTACCAAAGTGTAATCATCTAAGTGTAGTTACAGGATGAGAGCTACGCTCGTGGTGTCCCGTCTTCCCAGTACTCTTTGTCATATAACGCTTTGAAACTACTGACGGTCTTGGCCTCCACCACCTTCTCAACTAACGTGTGTGTGTGTACATTGTGTGTAGGTGTGTGTGTGTGTTGATGCAGGTGTTGGATGGGTGTGTGTGCCCATCCTATGTGAGTAATGACATAAGAATGCCACCATTAGTGGCCTTATCAGGTTATCAACAACAAAGTTTGGCATAATGAGGTTAATGTGTTCCTCCATGCAGGTGTATTACCCCTCCATCTCGTACCTTCCAACCTGGTACACCTATGCCCACCACAGGACAGTCATCTACATCCACCACAGGACAGTCATCTACATCCCCCACAGAACAGTCATCTGTTGGGGTTTATGGTAACTGTTGGGATTTGTAGTGACTGAGTTTAGGATGACTGTTGAAGTTCAGGATAACTGTTGAGGTTCAGGATGACTGTTGAAGTCCAGGATGATTGTTGAAGTTAAGGATGACTGTTGAAAGTTCAGGATGACTGCTGAGGTTCAGGATGATTGTTGAAAGTTCAGGATGACTGTTGGAGCTTATGGTGATTGTTATGATTTAGTGTGACTGCTGAGGGTCTGGGTGATTGTCGGGGTCTATGGTGATTGTCCTAGAGGGTCCTACTTGTTGTTACATAACCCATGGAATATACCAGGAGGATGCTTAAGGTGGGTTCCAGGAGTTCTTCCACTCCCCAAGCCTGGCTTGGAGTCGGGCTCGACTTGTGAAAACTTAGTCCAACAGGCTGTTGCTTGGAGTGGCCCACAGGTCCACTTGTAGCAACTGTATTAAGAGTAATATACAGTAGATGCTCCAAGTTCTCAGAAGTTCTATTGTAGGCAATTGAGCCTCCAATTAAGCAATTGAGTGCTCCTAATCCCACATAACTTATGCCCAAGAATTTCCCATTCCAAGAAGTAGTTTAATGAATGCTTAAAGGTTCTCCAGTAATCCTATATGCTCTTATTAGAAATTTATACAAGTTCCCCAAAAGTTCCATGAATCACTTAGGAATCCATAAGTATCCAGTGAGTTACCCATCAGGCAAAAATGTTGCTCAACTTGCCAGAAGCATCTATCCAACACAAGGTCAGGGGAGGTGTGACTATAAGCCAAACACAAACGTATAATCGCCAAGTTTAATTCCCATAGTGGTTCAATGACAAACACTCTGGATATACCACAGATCTTTTCCAAAGCTATCGCATTCACCAGCATACAACGTAACACTCAACAAGTCTAGTTCCAACTCTCTTAACAAGATGCTACAGCCTTGCTACAAAATAGACAGCAATTCTGGCCTTATTCGAGCCACCTTCTCTCACCCCTCAGTCAAGCTCTATGCTCTCACCCTTCTTTGAGCTCTCTGCTTCCAGCAGTGAGTTTTATTTCTATTTTTAATTCATATGTTTTTCATTTGATTTTATCATTATCATTATTTTAAAGTGTTTCATTTCCCACATACAGTGGGTTTGGGGCATTCCACTCATCAGGGTCTTTATGAAGGTTATTCAAGATTCATGGTTTTTGGAAATCAGGTTTGTGGATGTGCCTTCAACCTTTTTGTTATAGTGTCTGCCTTCAGGTTTTTTGACATGGTTCTTGAATATCAGTCACTGGTAGAGTTCATGATAACTAGCAGGTTCTCTCTGTCTTGGATGTAAATTGCATTTAATACACAGAGTTGTCATTTGAAAAGCAGTAAGAATGCTGTTCATGGGAATGATTTTGAAGGATGTGTGCAGCTAGTCTGTCATGACTGGGATTTAAGATACAGTAGCATTGGCTGCAAAGCATTTTTGAACATCAGTCCTATTTTGAACATTCCAATTTCTTTATTTTGGTCTAATTTGTAAGCACTATTTTGGAATGTATGGATATTTAAGAACTACTGTAGTCTAATAATCATCTTACGAAGAGTAGCTTCATATGTGCTGATGTGTGTTTGAATCTATGCAAGCACGTTAGGTGGCTTTTGAACTTCCGTGGCTTTTTATTTACATGTACAGTATAATATGCATATATACATGTATATACAATAAAATGTATCACTCATGCTAATCATAGACCAGTACAGTCTTGGTGACAATGAGTTTTCTAGTTTTAATACCTCCTCGATTCTCTATCAACCCTTCCCTTTCCAACCATCTTATAATCAGACTGGTGAGTGATGATTGTCATGTGACAAATTTGTGTTTCCATATTTCCCATTCTGCTTACATGTCAGGGGTAGTCAGACATATTCTCTTCTTAATTTCCTATTCAGTGACCATTTCTATTCACCAGTTAATTGAAGAGTAATCTAAATGTATAACCATGTTAAGATTAATCAGGAAACTATATACAAATAAATGTCATTCCTAAATTGTGAATGATTGTCTCAAAATCTGATACCCTAAGATCTTGGATTTATTTCTAAAGTCATGCTGTATGAAAGATAGAGCGAAGAGCACTCTCTGAAGATTACTTACTAAAGATTCAGACTTTGCAATTGAATTTCTGATTTTAATGGTTGCAGTTATTACATGTTATCATCACTTAAGAGATAACTGATGAAAAAGAGACACGTTTCATTTCTTAAAATACAGTATGTAATAATCATGAAAATAATCATAAATGGATGGTGACAGTTCAATTTTTTCTCTCCTAAGTCCGACATTCATTCATAGCTCCTTACTCCCTTTGTTAAATTTCTTTTCCTTCTCCTAATCTCTTATTTTTTCATTGTTTCCTTCCCTGATCATTGTTAGCATTTTACTTCACTACTCTTATACTCGCATTTTGCTCTTTATTATTCACCTTGGCATTATATCAAAGCATCATATGACAGTGTTAGGATTAAGGTATGTGTAGGATTAAGGTCCCTTAAGATTAGGTTTGTAACATTAAGATCCGATGCTCGTTTGTATTCATGGTACCTATACCTGGTGACATTATAGTTTGTGGTTGTTGAATAAATGCCATGTGAATCACACGTTCATTTCTCTTCCTGCCAAATTATAACAGTAGCAACAAGGATTATTAACACCTAAGGCAGAGAGCCCAGGTACAAGATGAAGTGTGGAGCATCTGGAGAGAGCAGAGTACGTCATGTGGACGGGTGGAGGAATTTAAGACAACAGTGAGTTGTGCAACTCCCATGGCCATGGCTGCCCAGGCACTCATTGCTAGGGAGTCGTTTGATGCTACCAAGATCTCGACGGACCTGTGGTTGAGCCTGCTTAAAATCTCAGGCTAATAAAATTATGAAGATACCAAGGAATAGGTAACAGTAAACTGGTAGAGGCATATACTCACCAGTGGAGGTCAGGTCAGCTCAGATCAGGTCAAAGATGTGTCACCTCCGTTCTTCACCCGCTCTTACACCTCCATAAAACTGAAAGAACAAACTTAGCGTAAAATATATAACATAAGACACACTAAAATCATGGATTCTAGTCGTCATTTCACATCTGCACTCATCAGGGAAAGAAGCCATTACATGCCACAACTTTTATGTCCATATACTGTACAGTACTGTTGTCTCTACAAACAGCGAAGAGAGCAAGTCATCACACTAGCAACCAATACTTCAGACACCTGCCAAAGAGGCAAGAATGATCATAATACCCTCTCAAAGCCACCTTATTTTGCCACCTAAAATACAAAGATGAAAAATTAGAAGGTTCCCAAACAACCATGATAAGAACTGAATGGAAGCAATGCACGAGATGATCCAGAAAACAGAGCTGAGCTAGCCATATGGGAGCTCCAAAAGCTCTACAATTTGGGGAGAAGATAAATACTGTATTCTACATTTCCAGTGGTTCCAGTCCAAGTTGCATGTCATCCACCACAAATGCCTCCTGATCCAGAAATGGAGCTACATACAATGGTAGTTGCCGACTTCAAACAGAGGCAAAGTGATTCACCTTCAGGGACCCAAATATCTCATATATCCCAGCTAAAGGAGTCCCTCTCCAACTCCCACTCTCATGAAATTGATTGGAAGCGAGAGGCAATCTGCGGGAACATTCGAGGTGCTTAGAATACGAAACATGTAGAAGATTAAACCCAAGAAGCATGAAATGAAACTACAGTGTCGTCAGAGTCCAAGCTCACATAGTGAACCACCAGAAGACAATCAGAGTGAAGGCAGATAGTCAAGCCCCACAGAAGAATGCACACAAGCACATTCTAAATTCATACTCCCTCCCTCACCATAAATAAGGTTGCCACAACCATAACCAGTTGTGACAATAACTAGTCCTTGTCCAGTATGGTGATGGTTAGAGACAAAGCTCCAGCTGAGTTCCAACACATCTATGTACAACTCGAGGTATGGCACCAGAGGAAGCCACAACAATTAATGCCAAAAAAGCAACAGGTAGAAACCACACACATAAGCTCTCCAATATGCCTGTTTGGTCATGCACTTTGCAATCCTAAAGCATCAACCACAGCAGGAAGTGTTACAAGTAAGTCCTCCAGCCACACCTGGCCCACTGGGTAGACCATGCATGCAAAGTTAGTGTCCCACAGTCACTTGATCATTCAACAGGAAGGCCAACACTTGCCCATCACCAAGCTGAGATAGGTGGCCGGGATGACTCCACAAGAGTGGGAGGAAGGTCATCTTGGTATCCCAGATCACCCCTTACTCCTGAAATGATTAAGTTGGCATGAGCAGGGATTTCTCAACTTTTGTGAGAAATTCAAAACAAGCCAGAGCCTGAACAAAAGTGATCCATTGCAAGCAGGCAAGCAATGGAGTTGGGGATAAAAATCAACTAGTTTTCAACAGGCTAGCACTTTGGTCCCTCTTTGAAGTTAAAAAGAACCACCTGCGTCAATCAATCAAGTGAAGATCATGAGTACCAAGTTCAATCTCGAGTACAGCTCAAACTGCCGATGGATAAGAACATTAATACAGTATAAGTATTCTGTAGATCCAGAGAAAAAATATATACAAATATTTTTTTAAGTATGTTTTAATTTAATATTTAATAAAAAATGTAAAATACTGTATAGTTTATGTGACTTTTTCTGTGGTGGACATAACCTTATTCTAACAGATTCAATGATTTCTAATTGGTATAGCTAAATGATTTCTTAAATTTCTTAATTTCTTTAATAAATGATTTCTTAAATGATTCAATGATTTTTAAGAGGTATAGCTAAACTTAATCAAAGTTCTTAGAACTACTAATTAAGGTAAACATTGAATATATGCATAAGTTTGGAAGTTAAAACACACAGTATATACTGTATATTATACATGTACAGTCAACATTAAATAAGCAGTTAACTTAAAACTAGTGACTGAGACATATATTGAAAATGTGAAGCGATTTAAAAATTAACAAAAGTACTGTATGGTATATTAGTTATTAAAGAAATTATATTTAGGTTACACAGGTTCTTGAGTAGATATGATTTAATAAAGGAGGTTGAATGACAAGGATGGGGTACTTTAGTGAGGAAATTAGGGGCTTTGTTGCATTACTTTTCAATGGAGCAAAGGAGTTAATTTCCCCATGTACTCTTATCTATTTCAGCTAATACTGTAGATAAGTAAACATTTCCAGAAATGCTACGTGCATGTTGGTGGCTTTGCATCAATGTAAAAATACCAGTCTTATGTAATCTCACCAACCCATTGCACCTTCTTGCAAATAAATAACTTAATAAGGAAGGATGGGGTTTTGAAGATACAAAATAAAAAAATGACAGCTTTGTGTAGTAGTGTTTTTATGTGCAACACCTATTACTACAATTATACCTGTCTTCTTCTTTGCATTTTATTATGAAAAGTATTATTATTATTATTATTATTATTATTATTATTATTATTATTATTATTAGTATAACAATCTCTATAGGTTAGGTTAGAAGAAACATTATGTCTGCCTTTATTTTCTGCATAAAGATTTAATTTAATTTTTTTTACAATACGCCATTTAAGAACTCTGACATTATATTCTCTTTCTTTACTTATAAATAGTATCGTTACACGATGACTGCCTCACTTGCAATTAACACAACCTAACATAATGTAACAATGTCCACACATCACGAGCAAGTGAACTGTGTTGGAGAAGCACTTAGGAAGTGCTTCTCCAACACCTGCACACACACTGGGGAAGGGCAGGTGGAAACTGAGTGCCCAAATGAATCACAGAGATATTAGAAAGAACTTTTTTAGTGTCAGAGTGGTTGACAAATGGAATGCATTAGGAAGTGATGTGGTGGAGATTGACTCCATACACAGTTTCAAGTGTAGATATGATGGAGCCCAGTAGGCTCAGGAACCTGTATACCAGTTGATTGACAGTTGAGAGGCAGGACCAAAGAACCAGAGCTCAACCCCCGCAAACACAAATAGGCGAGTACTTTCTCAGCAGTAACTTAGGAACTGGCTGAATAACGAACCCTTAAGTAAAGTATTGTGGATGTACACGGGCCCACGGATATAGTGGGTGTACATGGGTCAACAGATATAGAATAATGCAAATTAAATTTTATGAAAACAAAGGTATTTTTTTTTAACTGTGAATAGTGCAGTGCCCCATGAGCTTGAGGACAATATATCCATAATTCCTTTTGTTAAATATGGATTCAAAATTCAAATGAGTTTCCATATACTCCTGAGAAAGAAAGAGCGAGTTCCTAGAGTCTGGTCTCCAAGATGCAAAAGCACACAAAACACCATCTAACACCCCCAATTTCAATGTAATAATTTAAAGTGAATTTTACCAAATCTAATGTAATGAAACAATGTCACAAAAGCAAAATAAACGAGACTGAAAGAAAGCACATTGGCATTCGGGTAACTCATTGTAATACCAAATATTATTCCGTTCACTGTAGGCCCACAGACTTCTGACAAGTGACACTCAACTGAAAGATGAGTATACCGTATACACCTGTAAATGAAATTTAAACCGGTTTACAAAAATTAATAATAAGAATACAATATTTTATTTATAAATGTAAATTTATAATATAAATTCATAATTTTTATTTATATATGAGCATGTTGTAGTGGTTAATTAGTAGGTACAGAAATGATATATTAAAGCCCCCTAACACACAGTATTTCAGGCACTTGAAATTCATTTCAAGTGGCATTGGCTTCAAGCTGAATAATACACAACGGCCCACAGACAACAGAAGCTGTTTCACACAAAGGGTAATAAAACCATAGCATTGCCTCTCAAATCCATAATCACAAAAAAATCATAATTCATATGGACTTAATACAACAAAACGCGTATTATTTAGGAAAATGCATTAGTAAACATCCTACGACTACATAAGGTAGAATGTGAATACTAAATGTCAAGTCAAGATGACGTGGTGCCGGAGGGGCCACTGTGGCACACTATCACCGCCAGCTAATAGAGCCACTATGGCTTCCAGGGTCAATATGACCGGGTCACAACACGTACCACACAACCAAAACTAGCACAGGACAACTCACGGGGATCATAATGCCATGGTGGTGGTGGGAGCCGCCACAATCAGCGAGCGACAAAAATTCGGCTGCTGCCGTGGTGTCAGAACGATGCCAGCGCCATCTGTTGGCACTCTTCCTCACCACACCAGGTATTAAACCCACTCTACTTAACCTAACTCAACTTCCTGTAGCCTACCCAAACTATATAAAAAGATAGTTTAAAACTAAACTGATTAATTAAACTATATAAAAAGATATATATATATTAATATATATATATATATATTATATATATTAATATATATAATATATATATATATATATATATATATATATATATATATATATATATATATATATATATATATATATATATATATATATATATATATATATATATATATATATATATATATATATATATATATATTTGGCGTACTATGCAAGGCTCGATTTTCCTAATAAACCAAGTTTTCATGAATTTATATATTTTTCCTTATTTTTTCCTATGAAATGTTAAATCTACCCATTTCATTATGTATGAGTTCATTTTTTTTTAATTTGGGTTTAAACTAACATAGATATATGACCGAACCTAACCAACCCTACCTAACCTAACCTACCCTATCTAAACCTTACCTAAACTAACATTACTAAATTAAATCTTTGTTCAATTCAAGAACAAAGAACCCGAAGGTGATTCCCATTATCAGGCTCAGATAACCTTTAAACCTCCCGCCCTGCTCGTGACTGTGACGTCATCTACGTCACAGGCCCGTGTTTACCAAAAGTATAAGTAAAACAACACGTAGCAATATTAGAGTTAGATACTATACTGAATCTAAATTATATCATATTTAGAGTTTATAAGAATTAATGTGATGTTTCTTTGTTGTTTTTTCACGCTTTAGAAGGGAAATACATTTTTTAGTCGTATTCTTTATTTCCAAAACGAGTGATTCAGGTTACGGCTAGACACGGCGAAGGCTATTGCAATGGCCTCTACGTCTGCACTCCAGGTAAATACTGTCATGGGGACGGACCGGTCTATCACACCAAGGTGACACCTTTTCCATCATAGGTGTACGAGGCACTGAGCTAAAAATATGACCTTCCCTTCGCCCAGGGTTCTGTTTCTCAAAGACGGAAATCACTATCTTGCTAAGAATGTTGCTTTTTCATATATGTTTTATTTTTATATTTTTATGGTTTCGTTAGAAAGTTCATAAGGCCTATAAGCAACTGGCATGTGATTTTATTTTAGTTTGATTAAATATTACCGTGGATTAAACTTTTCTTCTGAATTAGTATAATTAGGTTTCATTTCGGGGCGAGGAGAGGAAGGCTTATGTACAATATTAAGCAAAGTTATATTAATTTATGGAAACTAAAATAAATTGTTTGTGGCTGCATGCCCTACAAAGATGGCTTATAATTAACACTGAATTCTTTACATCAGTGTAAAGATTAGATGACATCCCGTCACTCCCACTAATGTTTGAAGCAAATGATGAGAAGGAACTGAAGGGCCTTGACCCATAATATGCGACATAATTGGGATAACCATTGACAAACTAAAAGATTCAAAAGCCCCAGGTATGGATGGAATTCAGTCCAAAGTCATAAAAGAACTGGTAAGTGCACTATGCCTACCACTGAAAAACCATTTCAAAAAATATCTGGACAAAGGAATAGCTTCCCCCTAGATTGGAAATGTGCAAATGTCACCCCTAACCTAATTTAAAAACTGCTATGTCACACTATATATGACATTTATATATACTTACTGCTGCTACTGCTATGTCACACTATATACTGTACTGTATAATACAAAAGATGGCTATTATAGGGCTATACAAATTTTACTCAAAATATCATTGTTCTATGTAAACTCTGGCAAAGATCATAGGGAATATAGTTATGGTGCTGTTCACCCATCTTTAGACTGCAGTTCGAGAGAAATATCAGCCTTTATCTGATGTTTCTATTTATGCACATTACAAACGCTATCCAAGTTAATCTCTCAAAAATGAATCTGATGCAGATTTACCTCGACCATCATTCAAAAATTGCATAAAATGTGTTTCTCTGGTTAACCTCTCCATACTTTGCAAAGTACTGAAGTCCAATATTTCTTACATAAACTATGAAAATACATATACTGTACTGTATATATATTTTTACAACTTGATATGGTACAGTATTTTAAAATTAAAAGTTTAGTTGAATGGAGGATAAGATGGTGGCAATGATGTGGATCAACACCAAGTTGAGAGTAAACTTTGTGTAGACACTTTCACCTGTATGAGCTTTCTCACGTTCGATGACACCTTTGCAGAGGTGGTTAGCTATACAAATGGCTGCTCTTAACCTGGTATTTCACTGCACAAATGTAATTTGGTTCAAGTTGAGGCTGTTCATTCATATGTTACAGAAAGCAATTGACTTAGTCACAAAGGCTACAGAAGAAGACAAAAGCAAGAACTATGCAGAGGCGCTACGACTATATGAATCCGCTGTTGAGTATTTCCTTCATGCTATGAAGTGTAAGTAAACAAGTTTGTTTTGTAAAATAATTATTAAAGGGTAACATAAGAATACCTATATTGCCTTATTTAGATTTATGGTTGATCTCTGATCCCTGAGCTTCTCCAGATTTGATCTGACACTTGCAATGGTCTTTTGAAAATCTTCACTTTCAATCTTCACTGTTTGTGTATTCTTTAAAATATAACTATTTCTTTGATATCCTCTTGATTCACCTGCTTTCCTTCTAGTCTCACAACTTCCTTTTCCAAATCTTGGCTTTTTGTCTCCAAATGTGTTGTTACCACTGCATTATTCTGCTAAATCAAGTTTTCCTACTTTAGCTCAATATTAATACCCTCTTGAATTATCAAAATTTTGTTTAGTTTGGGTCTGTCTAATTACCCAAAGCTACCCAAACTTACTCAAAATTACACAAAGCTTCATAGCATTACGTTAGATATGTAATAACAAATAAATATGATATATTTATTCATTATAATGTTGGTGCTGAATGTAAAACATGAAAAACATATTTTTAATCTGAAAATGTATCATTTTATAACGAAATTAGATTAAAATGAAAAGCTGGTGACGCCAAAGCAAATCGACGGTCCAAGCGACAATGTTTGCTGGTATACGAGCCTCCTGTACCTACCTAACCTAACCAACTTACCCAAACTTAACTTAACCTAACCTATCCAAACCTAACTTAATATAACCTCTAGGCAACAATATATCATGAATAATTTGTTCATCTTGGATAAGTCGCTCCACAACATTGTCGCTTGGATCGTCGACTTCCTATGGCCTCTCATGCCACTTAGTTTCGTCTAATTTTGTTATAAATTTATATTCAAGAGTATATTATAATTATAATTTATATTATTTCAGAGTAAAAATATGTTTTTTCATGTTCTACATTCAACACAAACAATATAGTGAGTAAATATATCATACTATTTCTTAATTACTTATGTAATGCTAGGAAGCTTTGGGAAGCCTTGAGTAAATTTGGGTAGCTTTGGGTAATTAGATGGACCGTTTAGTTTTCTTAACTTAGCAAACAACACTCCTGTACTCACTTCTTCCGGGGAGAATCCAGTGTTGTTTGATTCATAATAATCAGCATATTCTGACCAAGCATTGGCCATTTTCAAAAGTCAATCAACAATCAACTGATTTGTTTATGTAGTTAACTGTTATATTTTTCCTGTTAAGGATTTCCTGTTAATGAAGGAATTTTGTTCTTGTATTTATAAACATCTTTATAATATAGTACTCTCTAAACATAGGCCACTCTTTTTCATCATTATTCTAGTCCCAATTACAGAAGTCAGTTGAATAGAGATTTAACTGTACTGTCCAATATTTATTATAACATTTTAACCTGTGTGTGTGGTCAACTAACAATATTACAGACTTTTGTTGTGGTGCTCTGATGGACATATAGGAAAGTCTCATTAAACTGTTTCCATTTTATGTAATTAACATCTTAATTATATATTTGATGTAATCTATTGATGTTTTAATTACCAGATGAAGTTCCTAATGAGCGAGCAAGAGACAGCATTCGAGGCAAGTGTAAACAGTATCTGGACCGAGCAGAGAAACTCAAAGATTATATTGGCAAAAATAAGGATAAAAAAAAACCTGTGAAGACTGGAGAAGGAAATTCAGGGTGAGTTACAGTACCACACATTACATTGTTGTAAAACATTGGATACACTTTGTATGAATTAAAAAAGACTTATGGCATGTTTCTAGTGTCACTGCTTGGGTAGGTCTCATTATTCACCCTCTCATTTTCCTGCCCTCATTTGCTTTACTGTGCTCTCTAAATATGAGGTTGTCTAACACTATTATTCCTTGGCCTCGACCTGATCCAATACAGTATGAATGAGTTATTTCCTAACAGTGTTTCTAGTTTATTACTGTATTATGTCAACTTCCACTTTAAATTTGTGAGTTTGAAGTTTCCTAGAAAGGCAATATTTGATAATATCTACTGGGTTTTTATGGCAGTTCTCGATATTCCTTGCCTACCTGGCTAGATTTTTTGTTGTTGCATCTGTGGGCTTGTATATTAGGATAATTATTAGGAGTGTTGTTTTCTATTTCCATTCCTAAGGCCTCAATCACATCATTTGATGATCTTAACAATTATGTTGTAGTGAGTCTTTTATTATACAGACATGCTTTGCCATGCATGCTGTTTACTCTCTATCACAACTGTAGATATAATTTGGAATCCAAATTTCACCATCCATGCACTCACTAATATGGATTTCTGTATAAGCTCCTATCACTATATATGTGAGGAGGCCATTTTGTCTTTATGCCAGCAACAATAAATAGTTTCTCTTTGGTTTATTCTGAATAGAACATTTTCTTCATAGATCTGTTGCTGTGCCATCTTGTTTCAAGGTGCAACTTTTTGATGTTTTTTTGGTCAAATATTGGTAGTTGCCATGGTCTTAAATATTGTGTGTTATTGCAGCAGTGTTGTATAGTAGTAGTAGTAGTAGTAAGGCTCTGGCATGTGTAAGACCTGTTTAAAGCTTTGTACCTCGGAGCACATTCCTTGCAGCACTGCTTTTCCTTATTCTTATATGAGATATAGACAAAAATATGTCACAGCTTTGTGTCATGTTTTGCAGATGACACAGAAATCAGCATGAAAATTACCTCTGTAGAAGACATTGAAAACTAAAAGCCAATTCACTATTAATAAAGTTTTCAATTGAGCAGCAGAAAATAACATGTTTTACAGTGATAATTTCCATTTACTAGGTATAGTAAACATGAAGATGTTAAACAAAATACAGGGTACAGAACACAATAAAATCTACCAATAGTAGGAAAGAAACATGTCTGGATCTGGATTTAGCAACAAGGATCTTGAAATAATGATGTCTGACAACTTAAGATTTAGGGAGCAAATATAGCATTAGCCTGATAAATGATAGGATGCATTATGAGAATCTTCAAATCCAGGGATCCTATCACAATACTGTACTCATATACATAATTCAAATGCTGGTGCTGTTCTGTCTTGAGTACTGTTCGATACTCACTTTTCCCTTCCAAGCAGGAAAGACTGCTGAAAGATAGGGAATTCAGAGAACATATGCGGCACGTGTAGACATGATAAAGCACCAAAATTTTTGGGATCATCTCAAAGCTCTCTAGAAAGGAGATAAAATACTGGAGGATCAGGTCCCAAATTTACACAGTAAAATATCAACATACTGGAATGAATGATAAGGAAGGAAATGCAGAATAGTAGAGTAGAGAGTAGTAAAGAGTAGAGGTGCCAAAGGCACAATCAGTGAACACTGTATGAACATCAGAGGTCCATGGTTATTCAGTGTCCTTCCAGCAAGTATAAGAAAAACTGTATTACCAGAACAAAATTGGAAGTCTTCAAGAAAAAGTGAACACTTCTGCAAGGAATGCTAGACCAACTGGGCTGTAGTGGATATGTGTGGCCTGGTCCAACAGCCAAGCTCTCACAAGTCAAGCCTGGCCCCGGGGTGGGCTTAGGGTGTAGAAGAACTCCCAGAACAATATCCAGGTACAATCCATGCTATATTTCTCTTGTTTGTCATGCTGTATTGGCTTTCCATGTGAGTATGAGTGAACAAGCATGAGAGTTAGTAGACGTGTGAAATCCAAAAGTGGTAAATGTGATATCTTGGAAAGGAATACAGGTACAAGTTTTTATTTCAGTTGTGTATAAATTTCTATATCTTATTCTTAATATTGATTTGTACAGGAAAAGGAGCAGCAAAGATTCAGACTCGGATGAAGATTCAGACCCAGCAAGAAAAAAAATGGAGACCAAGCTGGAAGGGGCAATTGTGGCCGAGAAACCCAATGTCAGCTGGAATGATGTGGCTGGGCTTGAGGGAGCCAAGGCAGCCCTCAAAGAAGCTGTCATTCTACCCATCAAATTTCCCCAAATGTTCACTGGCAAAAGAACTGCATGGAGGGGAATTTTGCTCTTTGGGGTAAGGTGTTTCTCATCATTATTCTCTTGACAATTTCATCAATATTTTACATATTTCATTTATTTATTGATGTGTTTCACACTATTACAAACAGTCTAGCTTACTGAGTTTGCCATTTCCAGGCACGTGTGGTTTAAGTATTATTACTGTACTTTATATTTTGGAAGGCCACGGAAAGAATTTAATTTTCATATTTTCTTTACTTTTTCCTAACTAGCAGGACCATTAAATTGTAATGAGGATTGCACATATAATTACCTTGCACAAATACTGTACCATGATAAGATTAGGTATGAGTAATTACAAAATTTTGATATCATTAGGGAATTCAGTCTTGTAACAAACATTCTGTACAGCCCCCAGGAACTGGTAAAACTTACTTAGCAAAAGCTGTTGCCACTGAAGCAAACAATTCCACATTCTTCAGCGTATCATCTGCAGATCTGGTGTCAAAATGGCTTGGTGAATCAGAACAGCATGTCAAAACATTATTTGAGATGGCTCGGGAACACAGGCCTTCAATTATCTTCATTGATGAGGTTGATTCACTTTGTGCTTCAAGATCAGAACAGGAATCAGAGTCAGCCCGGAGAATTAAGACAGAATTTCTCGTTCAAATGCAAGGTAATTGATGTACAGTATTGTCCTCAGTAGTTATGCCCAATGGCTTTATCTTTGTTGCTTCTCTATATGGTGCTACACAGTCTCCTCGGCTAGGTGTCCTCTTTTGATAATTACTTAGTATCTGTTCAGTAGGCATGTAATTTTAAAAGTAATTACCGTGTGTTTCATTACTGGATGAACTCGAGTACTTTAAACCTTTTGCTCCCTCTGCTGCAGCTAAAAATTTGTCATTAATGCATTCTTTAAATTTATTCCTATTTTATACGTACTATGTACGTATAAAAATGTACTTTAAATGTAAAGTGCTCATACTCTATTTCCCTCAGCACCTCTCTGAAGTGGCCATGTTCTGGCTCTTTGTTCCTGGTAGGCAACAAGAACTTTGCGACTGATGACCCAAACTATTAGAGTACTATATCAGTATGGATAGCTTCAGGGAGCCTCTGGGGCTCACCCAGAAACTGGCATTTCATTACATTCAATGCTATTTTTTTTTTTTTTTTTTTTTTTTTTTGTCAGTTATGTATTGTATGTCTACTGGTCTATGTTTTTCCTTTGATTATTGCATGTGTGGCCATTAATAATAAAGAAAGCTTCTCTGGTTAGCTTTGATAAAAAAGAATGTCTTACTTTGCAGGTGTGGGCAACCAAAATGATGGTGTATTAGTTCTGGGGGCCACAAACATCCCATGGGTCTTAGATTCAGCTATCAGGAGAAGGTTTGAAAAGAGAATTTACATTCCACTACCAGAAGAAAATGCTCGCACCAGCATGTTTAAGCTGAATTTAGGTGACACGCCACACGATCTAACGGAAAGTGATTTCCGTGTGCTTGGGTCTAAAACTGAAGGGTGAGTCACAAATGGAGGCAGTTTATCTAGTATATAATAAGCAATGCAGTGCAACCCTCATTATCTAAAATCTCGTTCCAGAAACCATAGCTAAAGGATTTTACTCGTGGAATGGTATAAATCCAAAAGAGGATCCCAATTCTTGAACACAATCAAAGTTTTACTATTCTTGTGCATCTAGTAGTAACTATTCTAAAAACTGATATTTTGTTGGAAATGCTATAGAGTAAATATAACTAAGAATGCATTTTTTGTTTTATAAATTTCTTAATGCAACATAGTGCTGAAGAGCTTTGGTCTTTCTGCGGTGTCTGTAACCTTTGTGCTCACCTAATCGAGCTTCAAGGAGTTTAGTTCAGTTCTTTGGGTTCTTCTCTCAATGTTCAGTGAATTGGTTTAAGCCTGCTGATTGCCAAGCCAATTTGTCAATGTTGTATCTACATTTGAAGCTGTGTGTGAAGTCTCTGTCTACCACTTCACACTTACTTTTTACTTGTGTCCCCTTGTTCATGTATCATCCATAATGAATAATATGTTCTTGTCCATGAGATTGTATATGGTAATCATGTCTCCCCTAATTTTTCTCGTAGTTTAATTCCTTTAATATTTCATCATAGCTATTATCTCTCGGCTCTGGGGCTAGTCTGGTAGCATTCCTCTGAGCTTTCTTCAGCTTTGTTTTATGTTTGACAAGATAAGGACTCCACATTATCACCTTGTATTCCAGAATCTGTCTGACATTCATAGAAAATAAGGTTCTTGAATGATTCCTTATTCAGATTTCCAAAGGCAGATAATATGTTGGCCAACCTGGCATTTATCTGGATGATGCTGATATCCACGTGTTGTGGGATTCGAGAGAGAGATTTGTTATCATATGAACCCTAAGGTGTTGCTCTCTAATTCTGCAGGGGTTTCTACTCCCCTTTGGTGTCTTATATTTGGCCTGTGCTCTTCTAGTTGTGCTTTGGGTGGGTGAGCTTTGGCTCTTTGGTCCCGCCTCTCGACTGTCAATCAACTGGTGTACAGATTCCTGAGCCTACTTGGCTATATAACACAGGGTCGACTGAGCCCTATGTTTACTGTGGTCTGACCTCCCATACTCAAATATTTTCAGATAAAAGAAAAGCTACAAAAGGCTGCTTGATAATGCTCCCTGCACAACATGAGATTAATATACTGTATTAAAATCATTGGATAGAATTATCTGTATGGCCCTGCCACAAAATACAAGATCCTTAACCCATACACTGCTCCAATCACTGTCTGTGATTACTTCCTGTGAGCAGGTCACTATATCCATTTTTTCACATTTGATTTGTTAACAAAATCTTATACTGTAATATAAACAACAGTGTAGTACTTTTAAATAAATAAACAGTAAAGGCTAATCTAGCCCATGGACCAGGTGGCAGTGGTTTGGATTACGTTTCTATGCACTTTTCTCCAAAACTCTGTCTTGTTCGAACATAGTTTCAGAATTGCTTGTGAGCATACTGAAAATAGTTTGTATCATTTGAGAGTTGCAAACAGTAACACTGTGGAAAAATTTATACTTAGGAAAATGTTGGTAAATACTGGATTGGAAACAGGATTATTGATTTAGGGAACAAAAACTACAGCAATCCAATAATAGACTTGGGATTGCTGGAGTGTTTCAAGCATAGGTTATACTGTGTATGAATGAGTTTGTGCAGATAAAAATAGGAGCTGCCTCACGAGGTCAATTTGTCTTCTGCGATTTAATTTATTCTGATGTTCTTATTTGTAAATCTCCATAAAATTTCCATTATTTAGAACTCATGTTGAGAAAAGTGTAAAATTATCCACAGGTACTCTGGGGCAGATATCAGTGTTGTGGTGCGGGATGCTCTGATGCAGCCTGTTCGAAAGGTTCAAACTGCCACGCATTTCAAGTACCAACGTGGCCGTTCACGTGACGATCCAAATGTCTTCATAGATGACTTGCTTTGTCCATGTTCTCCTGGCGAGCCAGGAGCTATTGAAATGACATGGGAGCAGGTACCTGGTGACAAGCTATTGGAACCAATTGTCTCAATGGTAAGTTGATACAATGGGGTTTAAATACATTTATAGTATTGCAGTAACTTATTGAACTATTTACCTGTTGAATCATTTGGAGATACTTGATATACTAGCATTGTGCATCAAAACATTAGTACAGCAAACTTTGACATACTGTATTAGTACTCAAATCTATTTCATTCCATGGTTTTAATCCAATTTTTTTATCGTACTGCATGTAAAACATCTCAAATGCATGTCAATAATGCCCTTTGGAGAAAAAATCTCTGCAATTTTGTATTGTGAAATTTTCACAAATTATGATAATCAATTAATTTTCTATTTTATCCTAAAGAAATGATGTATGCACTATTTTGATATTTGTTACATTACAGTATTAAAGTAATAAATTTTCATTTAAAAAGTGTCTAGGTATGAATTATATGATTCCAGAAGCACTTAAATCAGCAGATATAGTTCCTCTATATAAAGGAGGTAACAAAGTATTGGCAAAAACTATACTTCAGTTGTATTAACATCACACATCATTAAAGTTTTTGAAAGAGTGATTAGGAACCAAATCTCCAGTTTTATGGAGAACAATGAACTTCACAACCTAAGTCAACATGGATTCAGAGCAGGAAGATCCAGTCTTTTGCAATTACTCGAGCACTATGACACAATCACAGAAGGCTTAGAAGAAAAACAGAATGCAGACATGGTATACATAGACTTTGCAAAGGCATTTGATAAGTGTAAAGGCATGGAATGATATAAAATGAGATCAGGAGGACTAATGGACAAGGTGGGGCATTTGATTTTAAATTTTCTGTCAAATGCTAAGAGTAACAATCAATTAAATAAAGCCAAGTCCAAACACAGTGAAAAGTCCTGTACCTCGGGGCACAGTTTTTTGGCCTTAGGTAGAGTTTACGTCAAAATGCGACGCTCTATTAGGAGGACGGGTTGCATTCCTTAACTGAGAGGATTGAGCCACGAGGATAGACTGAGGTAACGTGACCTTACAATACTGGTGATGAGAAGGAATGTCAGAGATATGGTAATGATATAAAAGATTTCATGACGAATCATCCTATGAGACCTATGAGGGGCCTGGCAGCTGAGTGGACAACGCTTCGGATTCATAATCCTGAGGTTCCAGGTTTGATCCCAGGTGGAGGCGAAAACAAATGGGCAGAGGTGAAAGAAATTCACCCTGATGCCCCTGTTCACCTAGCAGTAAATAGGTACCTTGGAGTTCAACAACTGGTACAGGCTGCTACCTGGGAGTGTGTAACAAAAAGACAGCCTGGTCGAGGACCGGGCCGTGGGGACGCTAAGCCCTGAAATCATCTTAAGATAACAGTCCTGGCACCACTGTTTTTTTTTACTCACATGTCAGATATAGACAGAAATACTAGCCACGGCTTCGTGTCATCCATTGCAGATAATGCAAAAATCTACATGAAAATTATTTCTATGGAAGACCTGTTAATACTTTTAAATCACTGGTGCTGTTCCACCTTGATTACGAGTACAGCACTTGCACTTTCAGAGCAGGAGAGATTGCTGAAATAGAGAGAGGATGTACATCACACACAAACACAATAAAGCACCTAAATTATTAAGACCATCTCAAAAAATGTACTTTCTGGAAAGGAGACGAGAGATACAGTATATCAAATACTACATACATGAAAGATATCCGAGGGCCAGGTCCCAGATTTGCACAGTAGAATAACAACATACTGGAGCAAAAGATACAGAAGGAAATACAGAATAGAACCAGTGAGGAGTAGAGATGCCATAGGCACAATCAGAGAACACTGAACATCAGAGGTCCATTGTTGTTCAGTACTCTCCTAGCAAGCATTAGAAATATTGCCCGACCAACCGGGTTGTAGTGGATATGTGGACTGCGGGCCACTCTAAGCAACAGCCTGTTGGACTAAGTTATAACAAGTCGAGCCTGACCCCAGGCTGGGCTCAGGGAGTAGGACTCCTGGAACCCTCTCCAGGTCAAAGGCTTTATCATTTTTCATTATCTTTATCATCACTCACTCACTCTTGTCATATTAGGATTACTACCTGCCAAAGAACATTAATACCTGCTTGATATCGAGTTACCTATCATGCCTTCTTGTCCAAGGAAATTGTTTACTAATAATATTGAGCTTGGGAGCTCATACACCTTAGTTGTTTATGTCTGTGATCAGCTGGTGAGATGCATTTGTTTCACCAGCAACTAAATTCAATTGATAATTTGTTAACATGGCAATATGGTTGTACAGTATTATATTCTACAGCATGTTACTATATTTTTATGTACAGTACTCTTATTTTGTGCTATTCTTTTCAGTAAACAAAGAAGTTTAGTTTTTAGCACTGTAAATAGTGTTTATTTAGCACAGTGTAAATAGTGTTTTTGATAATAGTGTTCATTGCACAGTGTAAATAGTGTTCATTGATGTTAGCCCTCATATAATATAATTCACTTTAAATACCATAAGCTTCCACATCATTTTCTTTATCATACGTTAGGAAATTTAAAAACAAAACAAGATTGTTTGCCTGTCGGATATTAAATTGATATATTTTATCTAACATAAAAATTAAAATTAGGGTGATATTAAGCGAGGATATTAAGGAGGATTTAGAGAACGGTGAAAGCATAGCAGAAATATCTCTGTATTAAATGAAAGAAACTCTTTCTATTGATTTCTGTTTTTATCTTTGCCAGAGAGATATGATGCGCTCTCTGGCGGACTCAAAGCCATCAGTTAATAACGAGGACTTGGAAAAACTACGTAAATTTACCGAAGATTTTGGCCAAGAGGGGTAAAAATGTTCACTGGAAAATTTCCTTTTATCTATATTTTGCATACTGTATAAACATAGTCCATTGTTATTATGTAAAGAGAAAACTATGTATTCAAAAAATATTCTAGCAGATTGGAAAGAGTCAGCTGTGTATTACTTCGTAAGCTGCATCATAAGTATTGTATTTATTTTAATTAGTTACATTTAATGATTTAAATATCATTAATAAAAGCATACAGTGAAAGGATCTATTGTTATTTAAGAGCCAGCCATGAATAATGATACTATTTTAAAAGAGTTACTAAACCAGTGAACGTCCTATAGACTGTTAGGTGTGTTTAGTACAGGAGTGTTATGAAAGGTGGTCCTTGTTTAGAGAAAGCTGTGCTTGATGTAAGGATGTTTACTGGTTCTTTTGTACCTTTAAATTTCTCTTAAATCGTAAAATTCAATAAAAGGATCATGTAAAAATAATTTCATTATTCTTTCTCATACTGTGTGTCTTTTAAATCAGAATTTTATTTTCTGCATTCCTTAGCAGTTCATTGGAATTTAGGTTTTGCAATAATGTTTAAATTATTCATCTTTATTGGTTGAATGCGAGTATGTACAAGCAATATCTATGTGACTAATAAATAACTTGAAGAATGTGTATAAGGCCACTGTTCATTTAGAGCACCTTCACTTTTAAAGCATTTATTATTTTCTGTGCTTATTGTGTGTTTTGTATATAATAAAAATTAGGTTTGAGCTGCAGCACACAGCAGATCTGTTATTGGCTTACCTTGCTTTAATAAAGTTTAGCGTGTTAAAATTTCTTTGTTTGCAGTGAAGATAAAACTGTATAATATTATTTACAGTGAATATATATAAATTGTGCCTCATACCATCATAGGAACTATATAGAATAATTAATTTAATTGCATGTTATGTGTGAATGGAGAGACGATGTTGACTGCTTTTGGTGTTGTGCCCAGTTTCTGCTGTTTATTGGAACCAAAAAGTGATACACTGGATACAGGTGGGTAAAAAGACACTTGCATATTTCCTTAATCTGGTTCAGTATATTGTTTTTCCAAGTACATTATGGTATATTAACTTTTTCTCCTTAACATTTAGGTTCTTGTAGTTCATACTTGACAGTCTTCAGTAGTAATATTATGTAATTCTTGCTCTTTGTTTTGTAAAGCTCTTGTCTTGTCTTCTTTTGGTGAGCAAGTAGATGTGGCTTGAGTGGTCTCTCTGTTTAGATCTAAGTGTAGTATATATAATAAATAAACATAAACATATAACCTCCATCATCTAGTGCTTCAGTCATTCCTCTTACTCGAGGTGTTTCTCACTTATCACAGGTTCTGTACTGTGTGTATATACTGCAGGCCATCTTTGACACTTCTCAGTTTAAAGATCTATTTCTCATAAAGATTGAGGGATCAAAATGTGAGTCTCCACTAGCCTAGCCCCATTTCCTCAGCTAGCATTCCAATCATTTGTTACTAAATAAGCCCAGTTTCTGTAGCTTGTATTGCAAGCAGTTGTCACTAAATAATCCATTTCCATAGCTTATATTGCAAACAATTGTCACCAGATGAGCCTCATTTCCTTAGCTTGTATTGCAAGCAACTGCCACCAGACATGCCATTTCTAAGGCTTGTATGTAGAGAAAATGACATCCTAAAAATATATGAAGCATTTTTGTTTAAACTATTTTTTCCCAAAGTAGAAGTAATTACTGTATTGTATTTCACTGTAACACTATGATGGTGTGGTTATAACATACTTTATAAGTCAAATTAATATATGGCAATAATTTAGTTAAATGTAAATATGAGGCTAAATTTTATAGCAAACTTTAAGGCATTCTGGACTGTTGTAGAGTATTTAAGAAGAAATGGGTAATAAGCAAAGTTTATCCAAAACATTGCAAAAATACTCTATCACATTATCTTTGTTTATATACACACACTTGGCTCCTTTTGATATTTGTCTCATAAATGATTTTGAAGTATAGAGTACAGTATATGAATACTGTATTGTGGTTGGTATAGGAAAGCTTGATTAGTCGACAGACACGTCTTTTTTTTGTTTTGGGGGCTAATGCACCCTATCTATTAGGAACCATTAGGTTTGGCAGAGTGCAGGCAGCTGACTTCATCATTTCTTCCCATTTTTTCTTCTTTAATATTGTTTTGCTAATTTTTACAAAGTAACACTTGCAACTGATGCCCTCAGGATAGTGAATTTTCAGTAACCACCAAGTAATCAACCAATTATTATTATTATTTTTTTTTTTTTAGTATTTTCCTGCTCTTGTAACTTGTGGCAACTACTGTATATCTAGAGAGCAGATAATAACCATTTTTTTAATTACATTTTCTTGAACTTAACCAGAGAAGTTTTTCAGTATTTATCAGTTGGTTTATTTAATTTGAGGGTCATAACTTAGCCTTTATATATAATGTTTGAATTTCTACTAATGTTCCTGATTTTCCACCACATTAAATTTCATAAGAATATGTAAAAAAAAAAACTTTTATTAACAAGATAAAAGTGTAATTTTTATGATGTAGAACATCAGAGAAAGCTTTAAAGTTTTGTATATGGCTGGGCTTTTTTTTAGTATAGTTGGTATAGTATCCTCATTAAATACGTTTGAGTTGTGGGTATACTGTAGTTCAATTTAGTGGCAAAGTTACATCATTTATAGTAATTGAAAGAAAGTTTTAGCACGTAATGGTTTTTCATTGTCGAGTTTAAAATTATCTTACACTAGTTACCAATGGTGATGTGTGAGCAAGTGGTATGTGAGCTATCTCCAGCTATAGCAATGATCTACTATTATGATTAGACAGTAATGAGATTAAATACACTTTTGGTTGCCATCTTGGGAGATATCTTACCATAAAGCCACACAGCCATTCATGTTTTTTTCAACTCTGCTTTTCTATGGAATTACAAACCAATTTCTTAAAAATCTCTGATCTATATACACATACATACACTACACATGCACAGGCATACTTGGGCAAGTTTAGTACACACACACACACATGCATAAATACATAGACATACTAGTATAAGTGAGTACACACATGCCTTGCACACACACTCGCACATATGTGGTATGAACTATTGCCAAAGGTGGTGAAACACACACTATTCACAGTTTGAAGAACAAGTAAGAGTACAGTACCAGTACTGGCACTTCACCAGATATAGGCACCAGGAAAAATAGCTATAAGGCGGGGACTTTACACCTTGTGCTTGTTCCCTTTAGATACTGTACAACTAGGTACACCATCCAAGTACAGTATGCATTTGCATATTTGTTTGTGTGTATACTTAAATGGTATACTAAGATACGTGTGTGTATGCACATGCGTACTTAACATACATTATTTAGTATTTCATACTACGATGAAATTGAGGAAATGTTAACCAAAAATTTATTGATATAATGTCTTTTTACAAAAGTAAAATACAAAAATTATTACCGTCCTCTGTGTATTGTACAAGTTCATTAGTCTGTTGATAATTGATCCCAATATTGTTAAAATACACAAATTTTTTAATTTATTATTTTTAAAGGTACAACAGAAGAAACTGGTGAACTGGTACATGTCTTTCTTACATTATTATATTGATTTTATATGTATAGGCATAGAAACTTAGAAAGCTTAATTTTATTCATATTTTGATATTAATCAAAACATGAGTTCAAAACAAAATCAAATCATGTTATTAATGCAGTATTTTCTCTGTTGTGTGGTACAGTAGTATTATACCATGCCACATGTATTTAATAGCCACATAGGTGTTGCAGTATGATCGGTTTTTGTTCATGATTGTTGAGGTTTGTGCATCGTCAAATGCAAATTAGTCGGGACTAATAGTGTGTGTGGCAGGTTGAGGTGCCAGATATGAAGCTGATTTTATGTTGCATAATCAAAGATTATACCATAATCAGATCCTTTATTTAGACATTTTTTTTTTTTTTATTAAGGCTCCATTCTGCTGCAAATTGGCAAAGTTAACTGCAAATCTTCAAATGTTAAGGTTTAGTCATTTACAGTTGGTAAGCTTAAAATGAATGAGAATATTGGTCAGTTTTGTGCACTCAAATTTATTACAAAAATTGACATCAAATAAGTTAATTATATAGATAAATGACATTTAGCTCTTGCATGACAGTGCTTAACCCCCGTGTGTGTGACACTTTATTAATCGCAATTCATTTTCATTTCTAATGATGTCATGGAGTGGATTTTACACACAAGTGATGATATTGCACTGCATGTTGTACCAAGGCTTTTTCATGGGTTGTGGTGATATTGTATTTTTTTTTAAATGCAAAACTAGATTAAAGAGAAAGATGTAGAGGTTGTCAGATACATGCCTGGTATTGCATATTATACAGCATCACTATATAGTTTATACAGTGAATGCTGTTTAAACTATACAGTTTATAGTGTTAAGGATTGACTCAATATTCTAAATGGATGCAGCTTCTTGGTCCAATTCACTTAAAAGATCTACTTACATATGAAGCAATTATAATAAGTATCAATATCAAGACAAAGTTTCCCATGTTGCTGTGGTCGAAAATAGTCAAAGAACAATAGTAGATTTATATGATATAAATTTGTCTGTATTCGAATGTTAACATTGTAATTTGTATGCTACCCACACACCCCAACTCTCCTAACCTTGGCCCAACTATGCTTCATGCATTTTTCATCCTCATTATCATCACTGTTCATGTTAATAATAAATGATTATGTAATAAAATATATATATCTATATTTATGTATTAAGTTCCTGCTTTGGTATTAATGTGTGGAGTATTTTCTTGAAGCATATCTCTGGGATTTTAACTATTCTATGACCTCCAAACTATCGTATAAATGATTTGCAATACAGGTACTGTACATCATTTGGTCGTAGATCAGGTAGCAATTTCTTTTTCAACATTTGTAACCCTGACTATTATTTTAACGCTTAGACAGCGGCTGTAGAGAAATGACCATACCTATTTTATCTTCAATCATTTAACATTGTTTTATCACTTTTTTCTTTATTTAAATCCACAGAGCTTTTATATCCATATTTGAATCATACATGAAAACCCAGACAATAATTGTTTAAATTATCATATGATGACCACATTTCCCTAGTAATATTCATGACGATAACCGCATTTGTACCATGAAATAGTAGCAGGATATTTTCGTGGATCAAGGTAAACTCCATTACATCCACCATTGACCTATTATATCCACATTTGCATTATACATGTAAAACCCAGACGATAATTTTGTTTAAATCTTCATGACTACATTACCCTGCGAGTCAATAGTTGACGGTAACCGCTGTCTAAGCGTTAAATAGTTTAGTCTCGTGCTCAAGCATGCCCAAAATGAACATAGTATTTTTTTCAGACTATATGTCATGGTGATTTTTGTGTTCTCATTAGCTGCTGCTTTTTGCACACTAGATACTTTCTTCACACCAAGTGATATCTGGCCTGTAAAAAAAATAAAATAAAAGGGGGGGTTTAAGTAGCATTTTCTTTAGGTGTCTTTATTATAATTGTCATAAAAATTAACACATGCTCTAAAATACAAAATTTGTTATTACCGAGGGAAGAAGACTGCCATTTTAAAATCTGAAGAATTCCAAGAACAAATATATTTCCCAAACACCATAACTTTTGTACAGTTTTATTTGTCATTTTGTTATTGTTGTGTGTGTTTATAGCTTGACTTCCACTGTAGGATGATCCAGCAACACAAAGCCTGTCAACAACATATTCTTCACTTGCATAATGAATAGAAAATGAAGCATTCTTATTTATAAGGCTCTAATTTAAAATGGTCGATGTGAGGTCTGGGCTTTGTCACTTTCATCCTTTGCCACTGAACACAGTGGACAATAGTCATCATGAATTTCTGATAACTATTCACTACATATTTGTCTGTCTAGTTGTTTTAAAATACTCGTTCTTATTACTTTGTCTTGCATGCCTTTGAGTTGAATGCTCTAAGGCCCTTAACCTACTTAACACTTTCATGCTCTGGGCGCACGATCTTCCCACTACCCCCAGTGGGTTTGGGCATTCCACGGGAGCGTGCGGTAATTTTGAAAAGTGTATACTCGTTTCAACTTTGTCACCTCAATTCTCGTCCAAAAAACAAAAGATCATTTGTAAACATGTAGATGGTATGCAGGTTGTTGATTTAGCTAAACAGTATAACAAATCAGTGTCAATGATATGCACCTTAATTGCTAAGAAAAAGGACATTGGGAGTGCTAAAGTGACAAAAGTGGCAGTGGCATTTAATGACAATGCTGTCTCACTACAGTGTTAAAACGTAGGGAAGAACTAGTCATAGCCCGATTTTTAGTAAGACAAGCAAGCAGTGAGCCACAACCAGGTCCTAGTGGTATGCCTGCAAAACATAGGAAAGAGCATACCCCAGAAACATCATCACTGCCTGAGGTTATAATGGAAGGGGACTCCTCTTCCCCCCTCCCCCTCCTCACCGTATTCCATACACCAATAAGTCCTCAATAAAGATAAGGTATAATAAAAAATATTGGTAGTAATATGATTAAAATGTATTTTCAAGTTAATATTTTTGAGTGTGTGGAAAGGATTAATTCAATTTACATTATTTCTTATGGGATTCGTTTCGATTTATGAACTTTCGGTGTACGAACCATCTCTTGGAACGAATTAAATTCGTGAACCAGGGTGCTACTATTTATAGAGTAACACAGTATATGGTACTCACCTGACTTTGTTGGCAGGGGTTGAGCTGTGGCTCTTTGGTCCCACCTCTGAACTATCAATCAACTGATGTACAGATTCCTGTACTCGCCTATACTCATCTGAATGTATTCTTGAATTTGTACTCACCTAGCACAGCTTGGCGAGTTCAGATTCCCAAACCTATTGAGCTCTTATATCTACATTTGAAAATGTGTATGGAGTTTACCTCCAAAACATCACTGCCTAGTGCATTCCATTTGTTAACTATTCTGGCACTAAAAAGCTCTTTCTAATGTTTCTTTGGCTCATTTGGGCACTCTGTATCCACCTGTGTCCTCTTGTGCATGTACCATCTGTGTTAAATTATCAGTTTATATTATTGGCCTCTACTACCTCCCTGGTAGTAGAGGAGGCCTGGTCAGAGACTGTCAAGAGGTCTCTGACCAGAGACCTGGCCAGAGGCCTTGGAATCAATGCATGGTAACCCTATCAATTCATCTGAGAATCTTGTATGTGGTGATCATATCTCCCCTAACTCTTCTGTCTTCCAGCAATGTGAGGTTTAATTCCCGTAGTCTTTCCTCATAGCTCATACCCCTCATGTCGGGTACTAGTCTGGTGGCATACGTTTGAACCTTCTTCAATTTAGTCTTGTGCTTGACTAGATAGACTCCAGGATTGGTTGGATGTATGTGGTATACCAGGTCCTAAATGGCCCCCGGAGGAGAGGTGTTAATGTGTGGACAGGGAGTCCCCTTTCATTATAACATCAGGCAGTGATGACATTTCTGGGGTAGTTTCTTTCCTACATTTTGCAGACATTCTTCCCATACTGCACACATTTTCTTAACCACTGCACTGCACACCTGTTTTCAGCAAAAACTTTTTAGAGCAATTGTCAAAGACATATTTTTGTTTTTATAAATGTTCAGGTAAAGTTAATGTCAAAATGTTTCCAAACTCAACTATTTCCATTTCAAAACACAAATTAAAAAAAAAAAAAGCACAACTCTCACAGCACCAAAAGTAAGTAATTAATAAAAAAAAGGGACCAAACTGGGAAGGCTATGTAGCACCATCAAATATGCAGAATAATCAGAGGGTGCTAAATATCACCAAGGATGCCAATACGAGAACAGAAACGCATAAGGCAAACGATATCAAAAGTATCTGATTCATCAAGAATCCTATCGAGGGACAAGTGACCGTGAGGGGCGGTCGGAAAGCAAGACACACGCTCGTCCTGGAAGTCAGGACATTCAACAAGGATATGCACGACGGTAAGAGGGACAATGCAATTTGGACAATAAGGAGCTGGGCGGCGCTCCATTAAGTGACCATGAGTTAAGCGAGTATGGACAAGACGCAACCGCACTAGAGCCATTTCTCACCGCCAGTTACGGTGGCAGGAGGAAGGCCACGGGAACACACAACATTTAAGTGTATGCAGTTTGTTACCAACAACCCTGCCAACAGGCAAGGATGGAGGGATGAATAACCGGATAAAAGTCGGAAAAAGGAATACCTTTACAGGAAATGGGACAAGAGCGGATAGCCTCTCTAGCGGCAGCATCCACACGGTCATTTAAAGAAACACCAATATGGCTGGGAGCTCAGCAAAACTCCACAGATTTAAATTTACTTGAGATAAGAAACAGCCAATGTTGAATCTCGACGACTACCAGATGGACAGAATTAAAGGACCCGAGAGCCATGAGGGCACTATGAGATTCACCTACAATCACAAAGGAGGATTGACAATGAGAAAGCAGGAGACAGAGAGCATGGAGAATAGCATAAAGTTCCGCTGTGAAGATGCTAGTCTCCAAAGGGAGGCAACACATATAAGTGCTGTCAGGAAAAACAACAGAGTAGCCCACACCGTTTGCAGACTTAGACCCATCGGTGAAGATGGAAACGGAGCGGGAATGTGAAGAAAAGTGCTCAAGAACAGAGCACCTAAAGGCACTTTGTGCAGTGTAGTGGTAATGAGAAAGGGACATCCTCTACTCGCAATTATTTTCTTAGGTTGAACTTTGCCATTGACTTTCTTGGGATCTATTGCATGATATATAATAAGAACATACATGTTCAGAAACCAAAAATACTGAAAAACAATGAAATTATTCACAAAGAATTCAAGTGCAGTTGTCACTAGGTGGGATACACTGGTAAACTGAGCCTGCCTTGCCCCGTGCCCAGCTGAACCCACGCGCTCATTGACCCATACATGCATCAACAAACTCATAATCCAAGGCAAACCTCGTACACCGAGTCAAATTTCACGAGGAAATTTACCTCATATACCAAAAAATTTGTAAAGAGGGGCATTCATTAATTGAGATTCCACTATATTGCAGTCTAGGACTAAATGTGAAGTGACATAGGTCACTGTTCTTGTTAGCCAAAATAATGTTATTAATAATTATAATAATAATAATAAATTATGATAGTACTGTAATTATAATTTAATTATAATTTAATTATAACCTACACCTTCTCAATAATCAATGAAAAAGCCACCTCATAGCCCCAGTGGATTTTCTCATTGATATATTTCATGTTAATTAATGTGATTTGTGTGTGTGTTTCTGAAGTTGGGGCATAAGGTGTAGGACCACTCTGCCCTTCCACCTGAGTGCTTGTGGATCACACATAATCACTTGGACTGGCTTCAGTAGGGGCCTCCAGACTTCCTGTGATTTCTAGAGAAATTCAGTTGTATGATTTTTACAAGTCTGCAGTGGTCCAGTGGTAGAGTACGCGGCAGGCAATGGCGGGGTCATAGGTTCATGTCACCTCACAGCCCTAGTGGATTGTCAATAATAATAATACAGTGTAATTATAAAAATAATTATAATAATAATCATAATTATAATTATAATAACTATTATAATAATTATAATAATATATGACACAGTCATGATATAGTAATAATCAAGTTGGAGCAAATGTAGGAATGAATGAATGAATGAAAATAATTTAATGAATGAGAGGAGCAGAGAAATCAGAATGAGTGTGTGCAAGAAAACATATACAGTGGGAGCAACCGTGTGATTATGGTATAATAGTGGTGGAGACGGTGATGGTGGTACCAGCATGGTGATGGTGGTCGTGATGTGGAATTGAGGGGGAGGAACTCGGTACACACTGGACTCATTTGTCATTCAGCCTCCATAGGGACAAGACGCAGACTTCAATTAGTGATTGTTGTCTATCTTGTAGTTTATTATTTCTTTATCTGCTCCAGCGACAGATCTGAAAGGAATCCCACATCGTTACTTCTGATAAATTAGGTTGGTGATTTATAAGCATTTGTGTGTGTGTGTGTGTGGGGTGTGAACAATGATAGTGATGCTGGTAAGGGTTGTTCCTAACCTAAAATATTCCTCCACAGTGTGATTGTTGAAGATGAGTCATGGGTTTGAAGCAAGGTTTTCCCAGTGCTTCCATCAGGATCTTCCTTCGCCATTACCAAGACAAGTCACCAATTTTGTTTACCCATCTACTAGTGAGTTCTGGCTTTATTCTCATTACAGTTAACATCACCCATAGGGTCCATTCCTACCTGTAGGATCCACCATCACCATTACAATGCCCCCCCCCCCCTCCATTTCGTGTAGGAAGTCCACCATCACCTGCAGAGTCCACCATCACTTGCAGGGGGTCCACCATCACCTGCAGGGGGTCCACCATCACCTGCAGGGGTCCACCATCACCTGCGGGGTCCACCATCACCTGCAGGGTCCATCATCACCTGCAGGGTCCATCATCACCTGCAGGGTCCACCATCACCTGCAGGGTCCATCATCACCTGCGGGGTCCACCATCACCTGCAGGGTCCATCATCACCTGCAGGGTCCACCATCACCTGCAGGGTCCATCATCACCTGCGGGGTCCACCATCACCTGCAGGGTCCATCATCACCTGCAGGGTCCACCATCACCTGCAGGGTCCATCATCACCTGCAGGGTCCACCATCACCTGCAGGGTCCACCATCACCTGCGGGGTCCACCATCACCTGCAGGGTCCATCATCACCTGCAGGGTCCACCATCACCTGCAGGGTCCACCATCACCTGCAGGGTCCACCATCACCTGCAGGGTCCATCATCACCTGCAGGGTCCATCATCACCTGCAGGGTCCATCATCACCTGCAGGGTCCACCATCACCTGCAGGGTCCATCATCACCTGCAGGGTCCATCATCACCTGCAGGGTCCATCATCACCTGCAGGGTCCACCATCACCTGCAGGGTCCATCATCACCTGCAGGGTCCACCATCACCTGCAGGGTCCATCATCACCTGCAGGGTCCATCATCACCTGCAGGGTCCATCATCACCTGCAGGGGTCCACCATCACCTGCAGGGTCCATCATCACCTGCAGGGTCCACCATCACCTGCAGGGTCCATCATCACCTGCAGGGTCCATCATCACCTGCAGGGTCCATCATCACCTGCAGGGTCCACCATCACCTGCAGGGTCCATCATCACCTGCAGGGTCCACCATCACCTGCAGGGTCCATCATCACCTGCAGGGTCCATCATCACCTGCAGGGTCCATCATCACCTGCAGGGTCCACCATCACCTGCAGGGTCCACCATCACCTGCAGGGTCCACCATCACCTGCAGGGTCCATCATCACCTGCAGGGTCCATCATCACCTGCAGGGTCCATCATCACCTGCAGGGTCCACCAACACCTGGCTCTTACAGGAACCAGACATCACATGCACTGATATAGACTCCTGAACTATGAACCAATTATAATTCTAAATTTACATAACTCCTTCAGTCTGACAGTCACCCACCTTTTCTTGGTCTGATGGTGGACTCAACCATGCCCGAATCTAAGGTTGCTTTATACTGGCAAGTCTGAAACAATGAGGGAGACCCAAATACACAGGTCACCAGGAACACCCATAGCTCTGCTGGCTCATAGATGACTGCAGACTGTCCTGTAACATTACCATCTTTGTCATTGTTTCCATCATGTAAGTGATGAGCTTTAGAGCCATGTAGGGACAAATATCAAAACCCGTCCTTACTATGTGCATGTACCTATATAATATGAAATCTTTGTTAAAATAGAGAGTTCTCCTCTGAGGTACTGCAATACAATACAGTAGTACAGTTACATTAATATTCCACCCAAATGACATACCTTGACAGGAAACTCTTTCTTCTCACTGTTAGGACCAATGTCATCAAGTCATGCAGGGCTTTACAAGTTTTTTAAATAACAGTTTAGAGATTAACAATTGGTTTACTCTCATAGCCTTGAGGGTTAAGCTTACAAAAATACATGTTGAACGTGACTTTATCAATACCATTGACTTAGATTTTTTAAAATAAATATGGGTTCAACAAAAACTAGGACAATCAACAAGTAGGTGCACTATGTAATTCACAATAATAATAACACTGGGACTTTCATACACTTTAGAAGTCATTGACTGGACCTAATCATATTAACAGGACATGTGATAGGAATGATACAGCATTGAACGTCTTACAGTTGCTTCTCAGTAGGTTTGAAATTCTGTGTTGGACTTGACAAGGCGAAAATCATCCACAATTGCCAGCCGCCACTGGAATATTTAGCAGCAGACATCCTACATCTATACTATAATATAACAGGATCACAATACAACAGCTAGTCACTGAACTTAGTTACCATATGGGACGGCCACACTGTCTCGTTCCACAATATTGTGCCGAGTGAATGAGTGTCGGTTTGTGTTGACCAAGCTTGCCAAGCATTCAGATGTTTTCTTGTTTCAAATCTCACTTCTTATTTCTCACTGAGTCTAGAACTGGTTTTCTACATTTAACACTTATATTTTCCTCATTTTTTCCAATAACAGAATGTATTTGGAAATGTTTCTTCATATATAGAATATCACTTGATTACATATGTACTTCAGAAACTTCAGAAGGGAACATTTCTCCCATGGTAAATACACTATTGCATGTGTGCAGGTCTAGCTACTGAGCTGGCAGCAATTTTAAAAAGTTCACTTTACCATATTACCAGTATTTAAAGCCCATTACAAAGGCCCCTTCCTTATAATCAATATTACCTATTGGTCTGCACCACCACCACAGTAGTCAAGCTAGAAGTAACGGCAACATTTCTAAAGAATTATTCTCTTGTGTGGTGCCTGTGTACAAATGTGCATAAACCTATTTGGTGATGTACATTATTATTAAAAATAACTTTTGATATATATTAGTGTTAGGCTAAAATGAAATACCTCAAAATTTAAGATCAATTATAAATTTCTGGATTTTCAATTATTGCAAAAAGTGGTACAAGGAAAGGGGGGTTGCATAAACTGTCCTATGGATTGCTAGCAAATTAGCTCAGAACTGTATATGTTAATTACTGTACTTAGCAAGTTACTGTATTTCTTGAGAAGTGTTTAATCATTTTATAAATTTGTGCAGAGCTGAGTGAGGAGGGACTTGTCTCAGAGGCAGCATCTTGCAGAACACATGGACTGGGTGGAACTCAGGATTCCTCGCCCTTGCTTCAGTTTGCTTCCAATATCATCCCCATTATGACGGGATTTGCCTTGTCCTCAAGGACATCGACAGCCACTTTCAGGTCATTTGGGACATTCCAGGGATCTTCCAAGCTAGGCTCCTTTGCTCCTTCATCAGTAGGACTCTCAGTTACTGACTCATCACCTATCTCCAGAGAAAACCAGTCAGATAAAAAACTATTAAGAAGAAGGAAGTCAAAGGCAAAAATTTTCAAGGTGAAGGAAGGTAATTGCACCAAGTCAGTTATGTCAGTTGGCGTTCAACATCGGGAGTGTGTGATAAGCACTCAATGGATGCCAGATGGACAGGAGACGGATGAGCCAACAGGCAAAGTTAACAACACAAGACCCATGCAGTGCAAGCAGACACAAATAGACAAGAAGGAACAAAAATGCAAAAGAATTCAAGAAAAGAGCTTTGATATGAATAATGTTCCATCAGTGAAAGTGAAAACGGGTGGAAGGCATGGTGAGGAACTTGCTGGTTGGGAGATGATTGCAGCGCCTGCAGAAATCTCTAGTAGTGATAACGAAGAGCATGTATATGAGGATGCTGAAGTGTATATTGATGACAATGATGACATAGAAATATGTAGGCAGATCTCACCACAAATACAATTAAAAGAAAGGATGCAAAAGCATGTTATATGTATACCTGAGAGACCACACAAAACAGGTACTATATCCTTGCAACGCAACATTAAATTTGGAACAGAAACAAATGAAGTCCAGTCAAAGAGAAAAGTTCCTCCTCAGAAGCCACCTCGAAGGAGTAAACATGATCCTCAACAAGGTGTTCAGGTTGTAACTCTTGGTGATGGCATAATGGATGAATGTGAACAAAATTTTTCTAGAGACTCATGTGGGCAGGCTACATCTAATTTCTCAATCAAAAATACAGATAAAATTGAAAAATATTACTTTGGGGAAGTGTTGAAGATGTCATGCAAGCAGCGTGCCTCAAGTTTTTCACCTCCCAGACATCGAGAGATGCTTTCCAATCCATCTCGTGAGGTACTTAGCCGTAGGAATAGCCGCTCTCACAGCCCTTCCATGAGGTTTAAGAAGGAAGAGATGAAAGAGAAACTCTCAACACAAAGTAGGAATATAAACATTACCCTAATCCCAAGACCTCTATTCAAGATGTCACTCAAAACTCCACTGGGAAATTTTAAGGTAACCGGAGGAGGAAGAGGCTGTTGCTGTAGCTCTAAACATAACTCTTCTGGATGTAGCCGCAGTCGTCAGAGAGTCAGGCGGTCATCGTCTTCATCTCCTACAACAGTGAATCGGAGGGTGCCATCATCCAGCAGGACAAGACGTCGCAGAAAGTCACTTTCTCCCACTCCACAAAATCACCAGAGCCACCCTGTCTCCCACTGCATCCTAGACAGAGATCAAAGATCTGTGGATTATCAAGGTGGCCTAAAATGGAAGGGAGATGTTGAGGTTACGAATTTGCATCCTGGAAATGCCTTTTCCATCGACACGCACTACTATGATACTCCAGACAGAGGTAATTTTTGTTTGAAAGATAATTAAGCAGAGCTGGGGAAAAGGCAATCCATGTTGCAGCCTATGAAAGCCTTTCCCAGCAACATCTACCCCTGCATCATCTGCAGCTTACTCACTGCAGTCAACACACATCCTGCAACAGTGTTGGAAGTGATTAAATTAAGATAATTTTATCATTGCCTCCCAGGCCATTTCAACTTTTAAATCGTCAACCAGAGTATAAGGCAAGAAAAGCCTGCAGTGTGAAGTAAATCTTGTCACAATACACTAATCCTTTTGCACATATTAATTACTGTACAAGCATGCAAGCCAGCAATGTGCCCCACCAGCTAACACTCACTCCTGACCTGGGTCAACACAGAGGGGCAACAGAACCAAGCAGGAAGATCCTCTAAAGGGAGCAAAATCTGAAACACACCAGAAAATAGAACTCTGTCATTGCAGGGGCAGTGCTAGAGTGCACTCAGGGAAGGTAACCCTGAGCACATGCAGCCAAGCACTAAGGCCAGGCCTATACTACACCACAGTGTTTAAAACAAAGCACACAGGACCAAGGTCCGAGAAGCACTTAGCTGAAAAGTACTGGGGCCAGTCACAGCTACTGACGATCCTGAGGCTCTACTAGAATGTCTGGAATGTGTCGTAGCAGTGGAGGAACTGAAGGCTAGATGCAACAGACAACTTGATCCCTGCCTCCTTACTCTGCAAATCAGTGGGATGGGTGGGGCAAACAAGCTCACACTTGTTTCAAGAACTCTTAAATTGTTTGTTTACATTGAAGGGGGAGTTTGTTCAGTGGGTTGTGAGGTTTCAGTCTCTTTCAACCCAGCAGTAGTTTGTATTGGTTTGCTGACTTTCTGGGTGCCTTCCTCAGTGAGGTGGGTTTGTCACTGGCTCTCTGCACCTCTGTAAGGAAAGTGGCAGGTTCTGGCTCTGGTCCCCAGTAGGACAAACTTATTCCCATCTCAGTGATATAGTTTCAGAGAGCTATAAGGAGCTCCTCCCCAGAAACTCCAGGTATCATTTTAACAGGAAATATATTTTTAATGTGCCAACATATTTTTGAATTTATCATTATATCTGAATTTACCTAAGGACAACCATCTCTTAATTAATAACAGCCTCAATGGTGAAAGGAAGCCTGTCAAATGTCCACAATTTTTTGTTTTCTGTCCTACATTGTGGCTTGTTGAGCCTGAAGCTGTTGCCCATTATAAAATATGTTTGCATATAAATACAATTTGTATTTGTATTTTACCTATCCCAAATTCCCTTCTCATGTGGATTTACCCAAACTAATTCATTAATTTTAATGATACTTGTATAACAGTTAATACAACTAGTCTTCGTGCATCATTTATATGATTAACATTCCATATAAAATACAGTAGGATACTTGAGAAAGAGATTTTGTATTTTACAGTATAAATCAAAAGATGCTAAGAAAGCCTACTTTATGTCAACTGGTGGATCCATATCACTTATGACCTTGTGGTTTGCCTCAACAATATTCTTGATATCTATGGTGATAAAATAATTGATGGAACCAATGACCACACCTTCGACATGCAGAAAAGCTGGCACCGATTTCCATTTGTCCTAAGAAAATAAAAGAAAATAAATTACTAAAATAATGCTCAAAATGTATTGCATGAAATTTTTCTTTAGATATACTGTACTATACACGATATTTTGAAGGTAGATAATAGTGACAAGATAAACATTTGTTTTATGAAAAGCTGAATATAAAAAAACACATTTCAGACATAAAATGATGGATAATTAATTGACAGAAATCCAGCAAGTGCCACAATGAGATGGTCATTCACACTGTATACAATAAATGGAGCAAAGGCCATTCAAAATGAGTTCTGTAAAAAAATTTGTAAAAAAAAAAAAAAAAAAAAAAAGTTTATCCACTGCATTTTCTGCATCTATAAAAAGATGCCAAATTATAAGTGACAAAGGAGACCAGCTGCATTCATAAACGATACCAATTTATGACTGGCAAAAAGAGACCAGCTGTACTGTATCTGCAAAACAAAAGATATGGTTCACTGCAAATTCAAATTGCTGGATCAGAGATTAAGTATTTGTGGAAAGCTAAATAAATAGCTTACTAAATGTTAACCTCTACATGTGATACAATATATTAAACCACTGTATAATATCCTTTTGAATATTTTTTAAATAAATAAACAAATAATAATAATAATAAATAATAATAATAATTATTATTATTATAAATATAAAATGGGATCAGCTATTGTTGTTGAAGCATGAGTGTGAGCAAATGGATATGAATGGCAGTGGTTAGTACAAAATAAGTAATTATCAAAAGAAGGCACCAAGTCAGGGAGATTTACGTAGCAACCTCAGTGTCGCTGGATATTCAAAAGGCTCTAAATATGACTAAGGATACCAATATGAGAACAAAAACACATAAGATGAACAATATCAAAGTTATCAGATTTACCAAGGATTTTTTCGAAGAGACAATAGGAGACCAAGACATGATTGTCCTGAAAATTGGGACCTTCCATGAAGATGTGCATGGCTAAGGACAATGTACTTTAGGAGATGATTGAGCATTTTATAATAAATGCTGTCTGAGCCTGCTGCTATAGAACTGTAAAGGGATTTTATAGAAGCAGAATGGAGTTAAAAAAAAAAAGAGAGAAAAGGTCATTATAGAGGAGTTGTAGGTGGGGTATTAAAGTTTATGGAAGAAGATTAAATAAGGAGTTTATGGTAGGGAAAAGTAGGAGGAAAATGAGTATTTAGAGCTAATTGTTGAAAAGTATGAACCCAGTTTATTTGTAACTAACATCAGATTTGCAACAATAGAATCATGGAGGTGAAGAACACGCGAGATGTTTGGAACAAATTTACCTGCAATTTCGTGGATTTTCTTCCAGATCTTAAGCTACTATAATGATGGTGACATAAGATTTCCAACCCTCACTCTTAGCCATACAGATGGTCCTATGGGCCACTGCACTCATCTTCAGAAGCAAAATAAATGAATCGGGTGTCTGTCAACATTTATGTCTTTTCTAAGCTGCACAGCCTGAGCACAGTACAAATTCTACCAGGGAACACATTTCCACATGCTACGCAAGGAATAGAGCAGAAGTGGCATCGAATAAGGTGTAATGAAAGAAGAGGAGGGCTTGAGGGAAAGGTAGATCAGATAGGTTGGATATAAGGAGCAACAGCGCAACGTTGCTCCTAATATATCACAAGAAGCAATGGTTTTAAGCTCAACAAGTCACAATGTAGGACTGAAAACAGGAGATGCTTTTTCACCTACTGGGTTATAAACCCATGGGACCGGCTACCTGCCAAAACCACAAATGCTAACACTTAAATTTTAAAATCCACTTGGAAAAAAAACATCAGAGCAAATGGGGAGACCTTTAACAAGCTGTTGGCTTCCTGTCCTTGTCGAGGCCACTAGTGTGTTAAGTGGCCTTCAGGTAAAATACACTTTTCTCTAGTGAAACCTATTATAACTAACTCTTGCAAAGGAAGATGCTGCATCCAGTACTGCTGGGGTTTAAATATTGTTCGTTCTGCAGTGAGGAACATTCAATATATCAATGCCTAAACTTTCCAGACTTTGCTAGTAAAATTAGTCATTTGCAACAGTTGCAAAGGTATATGAAGTGCCTGCAGGCTTATAACCCTAGTAAATGTGAGACTAAACTAGACACATTACAAATAAAAAAAATAGGCAACATCTCTGTGTGACGGATAAACTCCACAGTCATCCAAAGCTTAAACAAAATCCATTACAGCAGTCAAGAACTGCAAATATCAAGGCAGTGCACGAGCCATGTTAGCTCAAACCAACAATGCAGCGACTCTTCCTGCAAATATGCTAACTCTAAGCAAAGGAAGGAAGAAACTCCAGGTTAGAGGGCTGTTTGATGAAGGGGTCGCAAAAAGCATTTGTCTCCCAAAGAGTAACAGACCAACTACTGTACAACTAAAACTAACGAGGCAGGTCACCCTGAATATACTAGGGTTTCTGACGAATAGTGTACCTTGATCCTACGATGTGATCAAACCATATTGTTGTATGGGCAGGTACATTGGATCTGTGTTTGCTGTAGTTGTGGAAACAATTCCATCAGATCTGCATGTGCCTGGTCTTGGAGCCACAAGAAAATATTTAAAATGGAGTCAAAATAGCTGACCCCCCCCCAAATAAATTCTGCCTATATCCAAAATATATGGGTGTTGGTAAGGTCAGATTATTATCACAAATTCATCTCGAGTAAACATGAACTGCAAAGGATGATTCTTCTGAACTCAGCAAGAAGAAAGTTACTGACTGGGCCTGTACTAAGGCTAAACTAGTCAGACCCTGCAGAAAGTATACAATCTGAGATAGTTATAGTTGTCAGGTTAGGCCTTAAACTATGCCTAACCTGGCAGGTTAGCACGTTGCCATGAAGGTGTAACCATAGTAGCACCATGTTGCCATGAAGGTGTAACCATAGTAGCACCATGTTGCCATGAAGGTGTAACCATAATAGCACCATGTTGCTGTGAAGGTGTACATTGGAGTAATACATAATTAACACTACAGTATGTTAATACAGTATGTAGGTATAGCATAGGTAATGTGTTCTATTAACCTCTTCAATTAATCAAACATACAGCAGCCAAAAAAAAAAAAAACTTTTGTTTAACTCACCAACTCCAGTAAAATAATGAAGGGGAAGAAGCAGCCGACTCGTGAGCCCTTAACAGCCACAGTCAGGAACGACCAAGTCTGTAATACTGAGTGGAACTACCCTGTGATATGGTTAATCTGAATGCCTCCCACAACCAGTGCTCAGGGAGGAGGTACCCTGGGGGTAACCACTTCAAAACTTTTGCTTAATTAGTGCTATTATCTACTCCTTATCCATAGGTTAGGTTAAGATTACATTAGGCTAAGGTTAGGGTATGTTAAGATTACATTAGGTTATGGTTAGGTTAGGTTAAGATTACAATACATTAAGGTTAGGTTAAGGTTAAGGTTAGGTTTCTTTACGGTAATATGGTGTCTAAGTCTGGATTAAGCATATGCATGCCTGAAATACTGTGTGTGTAACTGTTGTGGTTTAATATACAATTACTGTACTTACTAAATACCTGATATAACACGTTCCTCACTAGATTTTATTATTATTGGGTCTTAACACTTCCTACACAATCTTCCCTTCAATATTACCTCTTGTAAATATCATATTAAGTCCCCGTGGCACAGTGGTAAGGCACTCGCCCGGCGCTTCGTGAGCGCTTTGGCGTGGGTTCATATCCTGGCCGGGGAGGATTGATTGGGCACCATTCTTTAACTGCAACCTCTGTTCACACAGCAGTGAATGGGTACCTGGTTGTTAAACGATTTGGCGGGTCGTATTCTGGGTAAAATTAGGATTAAAGACCTGCCCGAAACGCTATGTGTGCTAGTGGCTTTACAACAATGTAACAATTCTTGTATGTATAAATAAATTTTAAAAAGCAATTAAAATATGTTAGGGTCACCGAGGCCTATATTTAAAGTTGGCAGCTGCCAGCCTGTTCAATGATGTGTGAACACAGCTCTTAACTGCAAGGAAGGTAACGTCAGCGACTGAGTGCCGCAGTGGGATCTGAACCTGGGACCTGCCACCCGTGACACCACTGTCACCACTGCGCCACACCGCCTCTGATTTCTCCTCCACTACGACCTGACGTGGAATACAATGTGACATATAATGTGAAACTTATACAATGTGGCATATAATGTGACACTTCTTGTCCTCGTCGAGGCCACTAGTATTAG